AATACCTAACACAAGTACATAATAATAGAATCAGGGGAACACTACAGCTTCTTTTATTAGAATTCTTCCTTTACTTCTGGAAAATGATGATTGGAAAAGGCAAACTGAAAAACATTGTAAATCCATTTTCATGTGCTCCAATCACTGGAAGAGGTACAGATTATTGATGAGAAAGACATTCAGGGGACAAGAATTTCCAAGAGTTCAGGCTTTGGTGTAATAGCACCGAGGGAAAAAACGTAAATATGTCACTTTGAGAATCTCGTGTGGGTCTAGTGTTTGTGATCACACTACCCTTCATTAACTATTAAACCAGATGGTGTTGGACAGAGAAATCAAGGGAGACAGGCATGAATCACTGGTGGTGTTTTTCTTATTCTGTAGATGTGAGTTGGTTGAAAAGACCTAAAGCTTTGACAATGCAAACACATAATTTAGCTGAGCTTGACTCAAGCGTCTCTGAGCTGCAGTCATAACAGAGCCAGCGACCTCCGGACCTGCTGGGAGAACGAAACAGTGTTTCAGCCGAGCGGGAGGAACTCTTGCTGTGTTGTGGCGCTGGGGGTGTTTTTATAATGACACGCCGGAACAACAAGCATATCATAAAAACTTTTAAAAAGTACAAGAATGAATATTATTACGCCCACACACAAAGATATATCTAATCATATCAAAATGATGACGGATAAATAAGTGGAACAAATTTAATTTGATCTGTCTTCTGTTGGTATAAGCCTCTGTCGCTTTTTAGAAACATCAACCCGCCTACTCGCGGTGAATTTTCTGCACGTGTCGGGATATCGGGACATTGTTCTGGAGGGCTGCCAGTTCCACATGTTCCACAAAATGTTCGTTCTCACACACAACACCTCTGGAAACTTTCCTGGATTTCAGTTCCTGTCAGAAAGCAGCTCCTGAGAAACAGCCGAACTCTGTCCTGTGCTGACCATACAAGCTTTTCCTCTCCCACCTTTTTTATCAGTCTGCATCCACACCAGCTCTTTACCCGCTGGACGTGTGTGAATCATACGCTGAAGCATACAATTAGCAGCACAAAGGATATGCTCAGCCTCACTATGGATTCTGACAGAAGCCCCAAAGGAGAGAAAAATCCTCAGGAGGGAATTCCTGTCCAGCTGCAGCAGATGGAAGTGCTGGGTTTCCCTTAGTAAAAGAGAGACAGATTACACCATCTGTTTCATTTTCTACGTCAATCTTTCTCATATGCATCTCTTGCAAATCAAATTATTAATCTGGCACTATTTTCTATATACAAGCTATGTTGCCATCTCCAGCAGTGAGACACTTCCATTATAACTTCATCAGAACCCTGTCATGAAAAATATCACAAGCTATTTTAACACCACATATTGACTTGAGATGGTCATGTGTCTTATTCCTGCGGTAACGGAAAAAAAATAACTTCCATTTTGAGCACTAGACCAGTGAGATTATTTGGTGGACCCGAAGATACCAAGTTCACAACATTCTGGCGAGCAAGAATACATCTGCAGCGAGCTGTTAGGGATGTTTATCTTCTCCTGCCACCAACTGATTGTGATCATCCCACTCAGAAATGGATGCGACAGTGATACGTGATATGAAATATTTTTTCTCATTCACCTCACATTCTCTTTTTGCTTTATGCATTTTAAATGCACAGACATGACTAGTCATGGTTTCTAATGATGACATTGGGGCGCTGTTTAATAAAATGTGTATGGGAATTTTAATGAATACGCAGGTAGATTTCAAACACCCTGTCCTCAGGACTAATATGTTTGTTATTTGAGTCATTAATAAGGACAGTGCTGAAAAACGTTGTCATTCACTAAAAGACAAAAGGACAGACAGGTTGGGAGATGGTGACGTGGCAGTTTACATAAGTGGGTTTCATTTCCCGAGTACAAGGACAGTGGTGAGAGTGACACAGCAATCACGTGTATGAGCTGCAGGCTTCAATGGAAACGCTGCTCATTCATTTTCAATGTGGTGATGTCATGCGTTGCCGGAATGCATTGTGATTCCGTTGCTTCGCTTTGCTTGCCTCGCATGCAACTTTTCAAGCGGTGGGGCAGTCACTAACCAATCAAATCGTGTTAATGAAAATACAGGTCCTCGTTGTGGATTTTTTTTCTGTGTACTTCCCTTTAGAAATGCATGGGCAGCTAGCATGACGTGAGCGAGAAAATACAGCTATGTTGTGTGTCCCGAGCAGGAAACTGTGATTGGTTGTTTTCATTATGATGATGGTGGCAGAATCAGCAAGAGCACCGGGTGAGTGGGACAGTTAGAGAAGACAAGATGAAGTAAAATAGAAGAAATGATATAGAAAAATGTAAAACATCTTAATTCTCAGCTAAGTTCTGGACTTATAAAAAAGTGGCTTTTTGTATGATTTCTAAATCTATATATGGACATTTATTTTGAATGTATATTGGACATAATGATAATGTTGTAAAGTTGAACTACCACTGAATCTAAAAATATGTGCATAATGTCTACATGGTCGAATTTGAATAAATTATGACTTGTGAATTGTAAATATATAAAATAAACACATTTCTGGATCATTTGATGATTAGTCTTAGTACAGGCTGAATGAAACTGATTTATAACTAAAATCGATTTTCTCAAAACATATTAATGGTACAGTGTATAATGATGGTTTACATAAGGCCAGATACCTTTCATTTTAAAAAGTTTTTTTTTTTTTTTTTAACAATTTCCATCAACATTTCCATCCTCATTGACTCCCTGCTGTTGTCACGGCAGTTTGTGTCAGTGCTGACTCCCACCGTTGACCCAGTGAGGGCGTCAACAGCCTCCCCAGGTTAACTACTTGAAAAGCCTTTATAATGGTTATTAAAAAGTGCTACTGCAGAGAGGGAGGGAAAGATAACTGATTGGGAGCAGCAACCTTTGCCAACCCGTAGGTGGTAGCCGGTATTCAACCTTTGGTGGCATTGTGGGTAACGGAGTCCTTAATGACTCACGCCAAACGCCTACAGGGGCCCTAGCTCCCCGCTGGTATCAAACTCATGACTCATACAACAGCAGCCTGTGCATGATTTAGCATAAATCTGTCAAAGTTTATCTAGAGAAGTCAGATCCCAACTTGTGGTTTCTGAAATCTATAACAACATGATCTAAATGAAAGCAGATTAAGCAGTGGAAGCTTAAGAATTAAAAAAGAAAGTAAAAGAGCAAGTCAGTAATAAAGTAGCAATGATGACATTTACAGTTTATAAACTAAAAAACTTTCTTTGGAAACCTGCTCTACAAAGTTAGGGTAACACAGATTCTATTCACACAGGATTAAATGCCATCCCACTTGACCAAATCTACATTTTTATGCTATGTTTTCATCCCTGTCGGATGGTCTTTGTTTTGTTTATAGCAAAATTAAAAAAAGATAACAGAATGGATTTCCACGTAACTTGGTGGAAGGATGTGGTATGGGTCATGGTAGAACTTTTTACATTTCGGTGCCGATCCTGAGGCGGATCGAAGATTTTTTTTTCACTTTCTGTAACAGTGCAAGAGGCATTTTTTCCTGTATATCTTAGTTCCCACCTGAAAGTCCTTTAACAGAGATGTATTTGAAGGTATTGTTATTTCAGCTACATGATCTATAAGCAGGTTGGATAAACTGAGAATTCAATTAGATTAGATCTGAATGTCATGTTGACTCAGTTATGCATGAATAAAAAATAGAATGAAATGAATCAATCAAAAATAAAACCTATTCCAGTATGTTCAGTGAGAGGTTAGTAAACCATAGGTTACTTCACACAGCAGGTCCCCTGGTTTAGTTTGTATAGAATGTTACTAGTGAACATTAATGAGGTGTGAAGGCCAATTCTCACCCTGAGCATTGAAAACTGATAGTTTTCTTTATCATGTCAGAGCAGACAGCCTCCACACATTCCAGTGCTGGTCTGCATGGTTCATGTTACATGTTCATACGGGGGCGTATGAACATGTAACAGATACACAAACTGGTCATGGTCATTTACCTTCAAATGCTCACATGCACGCGCACACACACAATGACCCCTACACCTGACGGCCATCAGAGCTGATCAATCGTGACGGGGTGTGTGCTTCAGGAGCAAATCCATTTTGTCAGCTCAGGATATAACCCTGGCCCCCACTTCCTGAAACAACCTTTGCTTTCATCAAGTGGCCGGATTCATTACTGAGACGTTACACTGACCGGCTTAATATGTCAAGAGGCCACTGCCCTAAATTTAACGTTATGCCCTTTTTTTTCTTTGTTAATGAGGAGAGGTGTGTGTGCGGTTGTGTGTGTGTGTGTGACAGCAGAGGAAAGTGAGTGATCTTCAGGAGGGTTGATATCTAAGACCCTGATGGCCTCCTGTGTGAGATGGAGGTCACTTTTGCTGCAAAATACCCTTCGACAAAGCTTGTACAGTAAATCACTACTCTGATGGACCCCACACACAGAATAAAGACAGAAAGGTGAAAGCCAGGGTCGGGGACACCTTTACACAAAGGTGACAGCCAATCAAATGGTGAGATAATAGATGGGCCTCGTGAAAGGCAATGTGGTGTGTGTCCTTTCCCCTGCGAGGAGGATACTGTCACGAAACATGCAGGATCTCCTTGAAACCTCCTACACTCATCTAATGAATTCAGATCACCATCTTTCAATAGGCTGCAGGAAGACACAGGCTACTATGATGAGACAAATGGTGAGGTGAAAAATCCAGGATGGCCTCTTTTCTTACAGCTGGTAAGAAATATAACTTTGAGCGGAGCTTACTGCTAAACCACAAAGCTTCTTGTGACTGATGTTTTCACATCTGGCAGCAGATCCAGGCATAAGCTTCCGGTTCGAACAGATGTGGTGTACTGTTCTTTACGGACTGTAATTTTAATGAATTCTCCAGTGGAGGAGTTATTGTCAAAAAATGTAGCAAATAAAAGCATTTATTTTCTGAAATGATAAAAACAGGCCGAGATGACATTGGAAAGCGAAAAAGGTCACTGAAGTCATTATAAATAGTTTTTTATAAATGAGAAAGGACCTATTATTACTTTAATCTAAGTGTGGTCTGTTTGTGTCAAGTTATTCATAATGAACAGCTGTAGCCCGGTGTTTGTTACCATGGAAACATAAGAAAGTCAAAGTCACATGGACACATTTCCGTAAGAAAAATAAAACATCATTCATGGTTCATCAAATGTGCATATATTTATCGGGGGTCATACTAATCCCTCAATGTAAATTCAATAATGTGTACATTTATATTCATGTAATTAGGACAGACTGTTTATCCCAATTTAAATATGACAACGCTGCACAAATTCAATACATACACAACACTGTGTTAACAGTGCGTTGTATCTTTGAGCTGCAACAGTAAACAGACAATGCAAGTCTCTAAGTGCAGTTGCAGCTGTTTTCAGGGATTATTGTGCTACTGACTTGCTCCACGACCCGCACGCTGAAACAGAACTTATAGCTATCGCTCTGAAATACGTGCCACTTCAGAATCTGCGCCTCTACACCGAACACTGCGCTGAAGCACCTGCACAGATTCCATTCCCTCATCTCTATCCACACAGCGAGGTGAGTTTTTAAGCTGATTATCTCACTGTATATCGCAATCAAACAGCCGGGTGAAAGTGGCACTTGAGTGTGTGGAGAAACAGCTGACCCCATTTTCACCAAGTCATTGTCGACCGAAACTGTGAATTACTTCTTTTTTTTCAGCTCAGGGTATAAGGAGCAGATTTGGCGATTTTATGAGTAAGTCTAAATGAAAAAACTAGAGTGAGAGAAAATAGGTGAGAGAGAGATTTGGAGAGTGAAAATGAAAAAGGGAAAGAAAGTTCGAGGTCCCTGATGTGCTCCCCCTATTGGATCTGTTACACACATCTTTACCCCCAATAAAGAGATAATGTTTGAAATGCACGACCAATCAGATGTCAGTCTCAGCTGTCAACCATGATGTTTCACACTGAATTTTTTAGCATCAAATTACTAATTAAAACCAAACTTACCTGAAAAAAATGTACATTTGGACAAACATCAGTGTGATACTAACTACCTAAAATGACAGAAGCCATCTTAAAGGAAATGGAATTGACATACTCTAGCCAGCCACTAAGGGGCGATCAAGACAATTTTGGCTTCACTTTTAGGAGCCGTAATGTCGTCTAACTTTAAGTCTTTGTCCTGAATCTGCAGTTGCACCTACATCAGATGCTACTGAACATAAATGAACCCAGAAAAATTACAGAGACAATACGATATGATTTAAGTCTCATACCTGGAGCTGGTGCGGCCTCCTGTTTGTCGTGCTCCTCGTGCCACTGCATGGTGCGATGGTAGCTCAGCATCACCTCCCACAATGCCTTGCACAGGTCGGTCAGGCAGGGGATGTAGCTGTCCGTGGTGATGTGCTGCCGACAAAGAAGTGATGAAAACAAGGGTCACTGCTGATCTCCTTAAAAGCCTGATATCATCCGTATGACAGTATTTCAGTATCATATGTCTCTTACATGTCTTTTTATTCACCCAAATTAAAAAAGGATCATTTTCAAAGTGATGAACACAGCTCTGGACTGAAACATTTATTGATCAGCTGTCCTCCAAATTTTATCTTATTAAAGCTCATCATCCAAGGACACTGACAACATAAATTCTCTTTCATAAGAAAGTCTTTCATCTTACCTAAGCTAATTAATGTAAGAACAGATTAAAATGAGGACGTTATTAAGCGGCTGCCTGTCTAATACACACCACAGATTTAAAAATAGCTCAGATGTGCACATTAAGTGGGTTATTTTCCTGTATTATAGCACAACTCTTAATATCATCTGTGACAAAAACCATTCTTTTCGCAGTCATTTTAACAACTGGGTCTCACGGAGATATTCAAAAGGACATTAATACAATGCATGATTGCGTAACTAGAACGACTTCTTTTATCGCAGTGCAGATGGAGGTGGTTTAATCAATCACCATCGGTGCATCAGAAACTTTTACATCAGCTGTGATATGATGATCAGACCGAGGTGAGTCACTGCTTTAAGTGACAACTTTTATTATAGCTGCACATAATGAGACACTGAGCCGTGTAGTAGAGGGACTTTTAAGTATCAATTAACTAATGGAGTATTAGAATAATCTATGAAAGACATTTATATATATAGATATAGTTGTGACAGTGAAATTATCTTATGTAATAATGTGATACAGGAGAATTCACAAGTCATATATATTATAAATATTTGTCTACCTAAATACAAGACTAAGTCACTTTATCTATAGAATACCCACAACCCTTTGAGCACAAACAACTCTAAAGGATAACACACGCTGCGGTACACACCTGCATCTACCACATAACATCTGATTCTGAGCTGAGCCTGTAAAAATGTTTGTGTGTGTTAGGTTAAAATCTGGCCCACCTAAGAGAAGTGCAGCTGGCACAATACTGGCCACTGCCGCAGTTCAAGGCTCCACAGAACAACCTGTCTTCTCAGCAAGTTCACAGACAAATTAATCACTGCCACGTGAGACAGCAAATGAGTGTTTGCCGAACCCTTTGGGTGGAGGAATGTTCAACTGGTGTGATTGAAGTAACTGGTCAGATTGTAGTTCTCAGCTTGGATATCCACTGTCTACTGGAGAAGACCTAAAACATTGTGTCCCTCAGAGGCTAATTTGTCGTCAGATGATAGCCAATGGGCTCTGAGATTCAAAAAAACTAACATGAGTTAAGTCCCACTCATCCTTCTGGCTTCTTCCTCTGGCACATCCAACTGAGCCTGAGTGACAAACTGGCACTTTAAGAGACTGCAGGAGGTGCTGTCGATGACAGAGCTGCTGCCTGAGGCTTCTAAATTGCACAATAAGTTTGGATCCACTATTGTTAGAGATGATTTGGTACATTAAAAGTGAAATGATATTATTTCCATCAGTCACCACCCTATTCATAACAACATAGCAAAGTATGCACTCTCCAAGCAACTTTCTAGTTACCTAGTTAGAATCAAACTTGCTGCTGCAATGGACATTAATCACTGTTTTCTTTCCCTCTGAGAATGTTTCTGTAATCACAAGAATTCAACAACAAAACAACAAACTGTGGTGAAGACAACGTTAAGCTGATTATACAGCTGGTGGATTCTCTTTAGTTACGGGTAGAGGCAGGACTGTGGCATGGACGGCAACTGCAGGATGTGCAGTCTGGTACGCAGAGTGTTACAGACGTGTGTGTTGACTGAGGGAAGATTGCATTACCTAAGAATGGCAGCGAGTATAAGCACCATTAAAGCCATCAAGCCCACAAACCTCAGAAAAGAACACCGCAGCCGAGACAGGGAGCCACTGGAACACATTTAGAAAAATCCCCTTTATTTTACTCTCTGTTGGTTCAATATGTTTCTACACAACTTACTGTGTTCGGGCCTAAGCAGACAACTTAGAAGTTACTGTGTACAGTGAGAACATAAAAGACATCCTTTCTACATGGATAATAAAAATATATTTTTATAACAAAATTAATAAAAGACATCAAATACGTAAAATAATGTACTCAAGACACCAGAGACAATGATCATGATGAATCATGGTCATTATCTTTCAGCCAAAGTACAGAGACCTAATCAGGTATGAATGGCATTAGTCTAGTAAACCTACGAGTGCTAAAGGTCCAATGTTTAGCATGACACAGAACTGTGTAGTCCAGTCAAAGATAATAAGTAAGCAGCAGAGCTTACACAAGCTCCAGACTGAAAAGAGCTAAACATGGCTGAGTTAAACACAGGCTCCAGCACCACATAGGTCAGAGAGGTAAGTTAATGAACCGTTCTGACAACACCAGGCTTACATTCGACATTCCCTGTTCTCCACCAGCCAACCATATCACAGCAGCATGTTGCCAGGCAACTGGGGTGAGGGGAGATAATGCGGGGGGTAAGAATTGAGGGAGCTTGTGTGTGTGTGTGTGTGTGTGTAAAGACTTTAAGTAGGTTTGACGAGATGTAACCTCAGGTACGCCTACACAGAACTGTCTGATGTGTGTGTAAGTGTGGGTGCGTACGTTAAATGCAATAACTGCCACAACTGGGTGCAAGGTCAAACCTGCTGTAAGTACAAAAAATGTTCTGGGTTCTTTACTGACACGACCCATCCACCTGGACAAGTCTTTCTCCACAAGTACAGTGATGACAGCTTGAGGGTGGCAAGCTCTATTGTACAACAGCGAGGTTTTCTGATAAAAGTTACAGATCATTATACACATAACATAAACCAAGCTGTGTCAGGGGGGTCTGAGTCGACAAAGTGCTTTCAGTTGTGTGTGGGTGTGTGGAGGAGTGTGCATGAATGTCACATAAAAGAGATGAGTAAGACACTGCAGGTACTCTTCATTTAGCTGATTCACATTCTTTCAGAACAGACAGTCACACCCCCACCTCCTTTAACAAAAGCATAAATAAATAGATTAACCTGCAAGGGACCAAAAACTCAGTCACCAAACTATTATCTAGCTGTGCCAGCAAAGTACAGTGCACTCTGCTAATCAGGACTTTCTCTCTCAGTCTGACACACGAACAATTTGGTGAACAAGTGTGAAAACGTGAATCAAAGACATTTTAACACTTTTTACACCACAGATTCCATATTAACAACGATCAGTAATTCAAGACCAAAAAATATGTTATAAATGGTGCAGACATCCTGGCCTAAAGAAGATCAGTAATCAAATTATTCCTCTGGAGTAAAGATTAGAGTAAAGGAAACTGCAGATGAGGCCGTCATACTGCTTTACATAAAAAAGCAACAATCTCTGCATCCTCTCCACAGCCTCAGTAAATGCTCCATCCTTCAGATACACAGCAGCACTAAAGGTCAGCCTATATCAAAATAATGGAACAGTGCACAATGGAGAGTGGGATGGATCAGTGTGGGTTACTGATGAGCAGCTGTTTGATATCATTATCAGGGTGATCTCGCTCCTATCACCATAGCTAGTGGTTTTTTATAACATTGGTAAAAAAGACCAAACTAAAAAGGTTAAGTCCCACTGACAGTTTTCTACAGACACCAAAGTTTACTGCAACCCAATTAAATTAATTTGTGAAACGTTGGTTGGCAGTACAGTGTTCGGTCCCAGTCACCTCCTCTCCCGTGATTCTGGGAGCAAACTCTCCTCTTTTCCACGAGGAGAGAAATCAGACAGGCCAGGGGATTGATAAGAAGAGCGGCTTGCCAATAATGATGAGGTGTTGATGTAAAATTAATAAGACCCTTTCACAATTCGCACTGACCTTTCCAAGTGTTCCCTGCACTCTTGAATTTTAAGTCGCGTAACTAAGAGGCGAGTTCAGAGGGGTTTAAAAGTGCCTCTAAAATTAGCATAACCTTTATTTATCGGGGGAAAAAACAACGAAAAAAGTTTGCTCTTCTACGCATGCAGACTTTACAGCACCACAGTGTTAACACATCGTCTGCCGCCGCCAGAGAAAAAGAGGGAGAGAGCTCACATCAACAAGATTTGTGAAGAGAGCAGAGAGCATTGCCGAGCTGATTTCCCCAGCTGGCCTACTGATGCACAACTGAATTTGTCACAGGTACATTTTTTTTTTAAACACAATACGGCGAAACCTTGGAAACAAATCCGGGAGTGCATCTATCTACAGTATGCTGCAAAATCACAACCGAACACGAAGAGGGGAAGTGGAGGATGTTTCAAACACTCGAGAATCACAGGAAGTACTTCTAAGCTCATCTCCATATTTTTAGCAGCTCCTCAAATCCACTCCACTCCAGCATATGTACCACATAAGCTACAAAGACATTAGCATCACATGAGTACTTCAGTGAGTTCTCATAGTGGCCATTTAAAGGCAGGCACATGAATAAAAAATAACCACAAGACTTAATCTTCCCATAAAAGTTAATGCAGACAGGCTGTTAACGTTGTCAGCGTCACAGATCAACTGCATGTGGGTGTTAACGTACATCTTTTATATGTGTTTGTGTGTGTGTGTGTGTGTGTGTGTGTGTGTGTGTGTGTGCGTGCATGCGTTTTGTCCCATCAATCTCTATCATCCTATCATTTGACGCCTCATCCATCTATCTTAAGTATGCAAGCATATCTATCAACCACATGCAAACATTAGGATGCGTCTGTAACTAATGTACAGACTCATGCACAGAGTAATTCAGAGGATCTATGGGACAGATTTCCACTAAGTTAACTAAGATAATCACTCAGACTACAAAGAGACGGCTTTCGTTTAAGCTTCTCCATCACAATTTGCTTCTATAGGCTCCACCAGCTGCTGGGACTCTTTGGACAAAACGTTGAAAACGCTGTTTTTAAAAATCTTTTTTGAGCAGGTTGTTTGATAAAGAATCTTATTGTTGGTCTTTGAATTTTTGTTGCACAGTCACAGTCGTAAACACACACATTTCTATGTGAAAGAAAGATTTATTGTTTCTGTGATTTTTTGGGGGTTTTAATTTAAGTGAATTACTCAGAGAATCTCACAGTAATAATTGTATGATACATAGAGTGCTGTCAGAGACCTATATTATTATTACTCAAATATGATTTATATATACCACAGAAATATAAATAAAGAATTACACAATACTGGCATGAATAGATTGACACCTAAAGCTTTGGTCATAAGCATTCAAGAGCAAACTGGTATTACTGTCAAGACTCCTGCAGCACAATATGTTCTATAGGTGTGACTGTTTTGACTCATTTATAGCCACTCTGCTCTGCAGTAAAGTGCATTATTTATTTATTAACAGCCAGCTGCTTATCTAAAACTAAAAATCTAAACGTCCATGCAAGCGGGTTTCCACCTCACAACTGTATGGACAGATCTTTAAACTAACAAGTTGGAAAGAATTCAAATTTACCCAGCATCACTTTGTCATAGTACATCTCAAACCAAGTCTGAAGTGACAGGTAAACTGATTATTAACTGACTATTCCATCTGCTACAAAAAAAAAACATCCTGTCATCCAGTTTTCACTGACGCCTCTGGATTTCCAACCTGGGTCCAACTTAAAAAGGCTTGGCCTTTATGCACTGACAAATTTTCCAACTTTCTACTGAGGAAGAACAACATGCATAAAAAGAAGAAGACACAGGGGGGAAGATGAGATGAGGAGTGAAGTGAGGAGATGCACTGTAGCATAAAGGTAAGAGGTAAAGAGCAGGGCATCGTGGACATGAACACAGCAGGCACAGTGAAGTCACAACAGTCAGGATAAATATATAAGTGAAGAATCAGGGAGGGAAAAAAACTATACGATAGTTGACATACAAGGAGAGAAGGTAAAATAACCTTTACCTGTACTTCTATATACACTGTAGGTCAGATTGTAACACAGTCACTGAGGGAGGACAATCCACTCCCAGCAAGACCGTAATGAATAGACCAAGTTATGGCTCACTGGGCATGCAAATGTGTTTTATAAAATGCCTTAGTCATGAGCTACAATACAGTTTCACTTTCCTTTGTCTTAATCACTCTCTCCACCCCTCATGTATTCACCAAACATCACATCACTTTCCAAAGGAAAAAAAAACGTGACAACTTCAAGAGTGAGAGAGAAATGTAATGTGTGGAGCTGTTTGTGCCTTTTTCAGAAAATATACTGTCTGGTGGGTGGGGGGAGGGGGTGTGCACTGATGTCATAGTCATCACTGGAGTGAGTGCACGACATGTAATGTGCAATACCTTCATCCTTGTTATAAATCAATATATATATTGTTTCATCAGAAAAATGTCATCTCCCCAAGACATAAACAGACACACACACACACATACACACATACACACACACTCATCTCCTCACCGTGCACAGGTCCTTATATTGCATCTTCTGGAACTTGGTGTCAGCGTTTCCAGCACACAGCTCCACGTATCCCAGCACCACTTGGAACACAGTGTTGTGGATGGCCTGGGTGAAGTGCATGTGCAGCTGGTCCATAGCGGTCTGCAGAGAGAGGAGAGAGCAAGAGAGAGAGAGAAGAGAGAGCCAAACACACAGTTGTGAAAACCATTACATCAAGATGTCACTGCCATCAGCCAACGAGGATCTGTGGAAAAGGGAAACAGCGGGGAAATTGCAAATCAGACGTCTCCGAGACACATACTGTGTGCTTGGTATTTTTGAATCACTTGCAGACATATTTTGTTAGCTACACAAGATGGGGTGATTGAAAACGAGGATAGCTGTCTGCCCTGGGAACTGCAGGGTTCACATCCAAGAGAAAAAAAATGTGTCTTCAGTTTCCATGATTCACGTCACAGCTCAGTTTGATGTGGAAACTGTCACTAATGAGGTAATGATGACAAGGCAGAAATGTGAGAGACATATTAGTGATGTGCATGTTATGGCAGCACAGCTAACTTTTTATTTTATTTTTTTGGTGTGGTGGGACGAATGAGAATGTGTCAAGCCGCCAAATGCACCAATTACACTAATTTGCATCCGCTAAACATTGTGTTCACCTTTGTCTCTTTATTGAGGACCAAAACCAAAACAATGAGCTGAAAGAGGCTAAAATTCTTTCTACAACTGACAGAAACTGAACTCATTACCAAAAATGACCCTTATCACAAAACACATTGTCGTTTTACCCATAGCAATTCTGATTAGAGCAGCCTAAAATATTCCAACTTATTAATAACATGACTGACTTTCTTCCATTTCTAGAATATGAATATAAATGATTCTAACTTTGTCATTAATCATTAAAAATCTGGGATTTCAGTAACCCCAAGAATTGCTCTTAACCACCACTTCACAAAAAACATCCAAAGTACAATCTTGCGCCACTCACTTTGCTCTGTGTTCCCAACGTGAGTCTGTTATCACTTATTCTCTTTTAAAGCCAAGTTGATTTTTTCATCATTTCTGTTTTGCAGCTCCCACCCACAGTCTTGCTTTGGGGACCTTGGTGAATTGAGGACAATATTGAGCAAAGCCCTGCAGGTAATGTATGTTGTAGAGCAATTAGATTTTCTCACTAAAAGCTCAAACTCTTGCCCCCCCCCCCCATCTATACTGTGACAAAAGCAAATTTAAAAAAAAACTGTTTCCTTTCTGAGAAAGTTTCACGTAATCTGTCCGAAAAGACACCATGGAAATCACAAAGTAGACAAGAATAAGAGGCATAATGGCAACTCTCATCATATGTGTCCAGCTGATTAGGATATAAGCAGGTAATAAGAGCGAAGCCTGGTCTACACTACTACTGATAGTTTTAAGAGATACTTTAAAGTTCCGTCTAGTACCTCAGTAAGCTAAATTCTGCACTTCCCTAATCCTAACCCCGAGGCGTTCGTAAAAAAAAAAATCACCATTTGCGTGACTTAAAACGCAGTTAGTGTGTGGATGAAAGGCTCAGACGCAAGGAGAAAGTTTCTTTTACTGAATGTACGAATTAATGAGGGCAGGGTGTGAGAGACTAGAGACCATTGAGAAGAAAAATAAAAAACAAATGGTCTGAGCTGGAATGATTCTGGGGATGCTTATTACGACTTGGACGACATAGTTCATTCAAGTATCCATTCAAGTATCCATTCAAGTATCCATTCAACTATCCATTCAAGTATCCATTTGTGTGTGTGTGTGTGTGTGTGTGTGTGTGTGTGTGTGTGTGTGTGTGTGTGTGGCACCAGAGACACGCTGCAGCGAAAGCTAAGATTAAGAGACAGAACTTGGCTAAATGAGGGAAACACAGATGCACAGAGAACAGAACAGATTCAGTCAGGGAGCGAAAAAAGATGGAAAGAAAAACAAAGCAGTTAGAGGCAATGGCAACAGCCAGGCAGCAACGGCTCCCTTGTTTGCTTTTGAGTCTGAAAATGCTCGTTATCACAGCAATAACAAAAACATTATGCCTTCTCTCTTCACAAGGTTAATGTCGAGAGGCACATGGCACATTTATCAGCGTCAACACTGGCTCTCAAGTTTTGAATGACAATGACGTACAATGTTGGCTGTTGCCAGGATTTGAGGGGGAGCTACACGTTGATTTTACATGTTACTACATCTTGATTTCCAGTTTCTTCTACAACCACAGAAGTTATACTGGAGGAGAGAAACCACCTTAAAGTCATTAAGTCGTTCGCTGTAGACGAGTCAAACCACTGACCTGTGTCTTGCCCAGGAGCGTGTAGGCCAGCTGGACCTTGGTGTAGTGCAGAACATCAAAGTGCTTACAAGTCTTCGACAGGGCGACATCAAGCTGCTCCTGGAGCCAGAAACAGAAAGATGATACAGGAGAAAAAAGAGAGAGGGATTATTAACCTTAAGACCAGGGATTTATACACATATGTATAGCTACCACACAAGGCCAAGGGAAGGTAATTGAATGTGTGTGTGTGTGTGTGTGTGTGTGTGTGTGTGTGCGTTTGAAAAAGGTCAGAGAGCAGTAAGAAAGACAGGTTAGTAGGAGTTAGGAAGTAGAAGGATGAGTAAAAACCCTGACACATTAATCTGAGCTCAGAGAGCAAAGAGCTGACAAAGGCCAAGTGATCAAACACCTTGAGTCCGTAAGTGTTTTCTCACGCCTGCACATAAGCATGATGACGACAATGATGAAAGTGAACGTGACAAACTACATAGCAACTAGTCAGTGATGTAATGCAGAAGGATGTGTTATAGTCCTCTTTATATACAGTCTATGGGTATAGCTCAGGGTAGAACCCATTCCATTTTTGGTGCGGATCAGTGGTATGTGTCGTCAGGCAGTTGGTAACTATTATGTATGTCGATGTCGCACAATGCTGTGAAAATTCAATCAAGACCTTATAATGCAATCAAGACAAATACATGCAACTAAGGTCAGAATATTCCACGTTTTAATTTGATTATTGATTATTCAAAGTATGACCTTTTAGGGTTAAAGTAGACAGATAATGCTGTAAGTGTCTTATTCAGACTACTGTCCCAATCAGGCTAATATCAGAATATTGCAGTTGATCTTTGGCAGTTTATATTTATCTGTTTGTGTGTGTTAAAAGTAAACAGTGTTGCCAATAGACAGCAGTTTGACATAAGCCGGCAGGTAAACAAACAACCACCTTGGTGCAAGGCTACGAATGTGTACGGACGTGCACGCCTACAAAACTGTAAGTAATTAATCTACTCAAGCACCACAGCAGCCGTGCAGAGAAAATTGCTTTGCATACCATTTATCACACGCAAGTATTGGAGCACAGCTAGAGATGAAACAGATATAATTTACTGTGCTCGCAATAATGACTTTCTGAATGTGTCAATATTTGGCAGACCCACAATGAGAAAGCCAAACTATCAAAATGTCAGAATGAAGCATAAATTGCTTCTTTCAGATGAGGGCTTCTGGAAAATAACAATGTTAGAGCAAAATATTACTCACTGCTAAAAGTCTCTTAAATGATATCCCTCACAGATAATGAAATTAGAGAGTAGCACAGACCTCTATTTGCTCCAGGGTGTCTTGTAGTTTGGAATTCAATTCACTGTGGGGAGAAAAAGTTCATTATTAAGGATTAGTTACTCAGCTCAGGACCAGAATGTGTGATCAACTTTAATTATTTTCATTACCAATTCAAGTTTTGATCATGTGTCCTATGATCTTTTATTACATGTCAATAACATCTCAAAAAATCTCCCACATGTTACAGAAGTTCAAGCAGATACATAAAGTTCCTTTTGTTTAAATAACAGCACAATCACAATATATGTAATTATATTAAATATTGACAATATTCCAATTTAAAAATCTGCATCCAAGACTTTACCGAAAAAAATACATGACATAATAATTTAAAGAAAAGAATAAAATGGAATAAAGTAGTTTAATATGAATGAGGGCCTGTCAGAAGGTGAGATTTTCATCAACTTGTGGCCAAAAAGATCATCACAAAAAGACATTTGGGAAAAAAACAATATTGCTGTCAGTCGAATTCATCTTAAACTTTTATAGTTTTGTGTTTTGTCTCTTTGTTGGAAAATGAATTATACATAAAACACAACAATACTTAAACACTTTTATGTTGCGAGTGTGAACCAGACATTTGATATATCACAGCAGAAACATAATTTATACAAAATTGCTAAATTGTTTAAACAATGTTCTCATATGTGCAGAAAATGATTTATATCATATAAGTATTAAATTATTTCTATATCATCGTCAATACCAGTCAATACCGGGATACCCCCAGCTATTAAGGGGGTTTAATATTAACCAGACGATAACACACACCATTCTGCTTCATCATACAAACAAGGCAACATTAGATGAAAAATAAGATGCATGTTTCCTGACAATGTCTCTGAGAAGACAAGCATGTTTTGTCTCGAGCTTTTGTTCTATTTGCAGTGGAATCCAGTGTATAAATGGTGTTAGTGTGAACGTGCGTATGCGTGTCTGTGCATGTACAACGATAGTCAAGACACAAAACGCCTACGCATCCTCAAGGCGTCCTCAGATTCTGCCTCATCCTGGGAAAATGCTTTCAACTCCGGAGCTGAGAAGCAGCAGCAGAAATCACGACTGCTCGGCTCATCCCAAGACTCCGATTCTATTCCCCTGTTACTCCCCCTGCACTGCACCCATTCATAATCATCCCCTGTCCCACAGTTTCTGGGGGTCTTTTTCAGGTCAGCCTGCTCTTATGTTGTGCCTTGTGAGACTGCATGTCGCCCAAGGGAGAGAGTGTCCTTAACGAATTGCTAATTAAGCATCTTTTTTGCTGCAGTTGGGGACAGAGTGTGCGGAGGAGGAGGAGGAGGGAGGAAAAGAAGAGGAGACTGAAGATTGAGTCCCACAGGTCATTTGGAAAGCAGGTAACAAAATGAGCACGCCATCTCCAAACTCGATGCGCTCTCACCCTTCTTGTATCTGCCTGCACGTGCCTGAGTGTTTATGAGTGTGACACGAAGTAAAGCAAAGGAATCAACACAGGCACCAGTGAACAGTTGCTAGTTTCCGCCATAGACTATAAAGTCTATTAACACAGCAGACGCAAATCCTCTTCCTCCAATGAAGCACGTGGGCGCCCCACATACAGAAGCTCGAGTCCTCCTGCAGTCGCCGGGGGTTCGCAACCCGGCACTTTGCTGCGTGTCGTCCCCCATTCTTCCTCCCCATTTCACGCTTGTTCTGTCCAGTCAATAAAGGCAAAATATCCAAACACTGTCATTAAAACAATAATGACGATTAAAATAGTGATGCTGACTCCACAGTGATGGTGGAGTCCTGCCGATACACGCACCTGACCAATCGCTAATCAGCCTCGGCTTTCAATTTGATGAAAAATGATAAATGACAGAAACCTTATTTGAGAATTTTTTTTGGGTTGTTGCTGTCATGTAATGTCTCTAGAGACAAAACCAGAACACTGGAATCAAGGTGATACAAAACACACATGTTCCATGTTCCTTAGTTGAATTGAATTTGAATAAGCTGGTATTTGCCGTAGCAATGATAACACCCGAAACTCCCTGCTACAGGATCAGTACAGCACGTCACTGCCAGTATCCTGAATGGAAACTACGACCACTAGCCAAGACAAAGAAAACACATCGAAGTGAGAGGGCTGGCTCGACTACAGAGATGTGAAATGATCAATGTCAGATCCTGGCTTCCTCAGAAACACATCTCTATGTCCATATGCAAGGCCCAGGAGAGGGCCGAACAAAGGCTCATAGTTCTTGCAGCCAGACCGTGGAGATACTGCCGAGGAGCAGAGGCCAACAGGATAAATGCCCTGTTCATCACAGAATGTTCTAGTGAACTCCCACACAGCAGAGTGGTGAAGTAAAAGGAGGCAAAACCACAAACTGAACAGTTTTGGAAAAGCACATTAGAGGGAAAATATCATCCCACAAACCCGGTGCTCAGAGACGAACACACCTGAGAGCAAAGTGGACCAACCACAGTTTCCCAGAACAGAAACCTATCACTATCACCACATGGCATACTCCCAACAGCACAGGGCCGAACCTGGAACACTTTGGGTAATAGTGAAATATGTTTATCTGTTTTCTTGCCAAGAAGTACAGTCGATGAGATGACTGACACAACTCTAACGTCTGTAGGTTACATGTGAACGGGCAGCAGTCGGGTTAATTCTGCTTAGACTAGAAGCAGGGAAAAACAAAAGCCTTTCCAAAGTTGAAAACTACAAGCACAAGCATATCTAATATCCTTGAATGTGAAGAGGTCAAGTCAAAGCCAATACCCCAGGTGACCTGCTGCTATTGTGTCCACGTGCTGTATATATTACCTAAAGACACTGTCCGAACTCCAGTGTGAGTACAGCTGCAGCAGCTCCCCGCACAGACACTCTTCCATGATCAGATAGAATGCATAAATAACAGATGAGGAGGAAAACCTAATTAACAATCTGTTCTCCGCAGGGAACAAGAGGATTGAAATAGAGTTAGGTGGAAATTGCGGAGGTTATTTTGCATCGCATTTTCAATTATCACAGGCAATAGGTGTCCACCCGGAGGCGAGTCTCCCAGCAGTGACTTGCTGACTCGCTAAAGAATCAATGTGGGGTTCGCTTCAAGGGTCAGCCGGATGCAAAGATTTTGTAAGAAGACAATTTTTGCTGTAGCCATGTTACAAGGCAGAGAGGCAACAAAGTTGCAGGGGAAGGGCTTCAAAGAATGAAATGTAGTTAGGAGGGTCAACAGCAAATTATGCAAGTGAGTAAGCGGGGGGAAGTGAGCAGGAATTAGACTGTGAAAAAATGTTCTCAACAGTGGATGGAAATTCATTCTTTTTGTTGTTTTCCTCAAGTGCAGAATGTGACATAGATCTCTGGCATCTCTAGAAAAGTTGGGTGGGTGCAAGTTTAGACCTGAGGATGCCATGTTGGCCTGGGCAGTGACTCTAAAATCAGTATTGACAAAATGAATAAAATATTATAAATAAACATAATTTTATTTGTTTGTTTTCTGGATGAGTCTCCATGTAGAACTTGGATACAGCCCAAAGACCTTGAGTCAGTTTCAAATGACAATGCACATCTGTTGCCTGCTTGATGCCAACTCCATTGAGATTTACACCAGATGTGAAAACAATCAGCTCAAAAAAACTCAGCTAATTTCACTATCGGCAAGTCTGAATATTACAGTGATGGGCTAGGACTATGAGACATAAGTGCCTGTCAACATGAACACTTTGTTAGATGAGGCGACTACAGACTCATATTTTTGCTGGGCTGTGGCTAAGTACCATGACATACAACACGTTGCTCCTCGACCAATCACAGGTGACATGAATGTAAACAAACATGTTGTCCCAAGTGCTGTGTATGACACTGGCTGTATTCTGGTAGTAAGAGACTTAAAGATCCTTTCCTCTGTTTAACAGTTCCACCTTAAGACACACACAACAACATTCCTCTTTCAGTTCACCATGTTTACATCTGTGCAGGTTCATCATGGCAGAGAGCATCTTCTCCCTTATAAACATACATGTGTAACAGAAAAGATAATGTTGACATTAGAGGAAGAAAAATGCAATGTCATTCAGCCTAGGGGTAATATGTTACCACTACAACAGTTACATCTGGAGAACTTTTTGAAAATCTGCTCAGGGATACAATCACCAGCAGCCTCCAAAGGAACCTATACTGCCACGACAAAGACGAGGAGGAAAGCACCATGGCTCTGAATTCATATGTGAGCTTGTGCAGTGTCTGCAATATGTTGTATTATTTTGAAGCCTCCACAAAATGGTTTGTGTGTCTGAGAGAACGCAAACATCCATGATACAACTGTTTATAGCTGATACACCCTGTACTTCAAATAGATTCGAAAACCTGACCGAACCAACTGCTTCAATACTAACGGCAAGTAGCTGAAGTGGAGGTCTGGGGGCAGTGTAAATCAATATGAAATCCTGCATTCTCTGTGGCAAAGAATAGAGATTATGATTCTCATTTATGACACTAGTTTGTAAGAAACTTCAATTTTTGCAGAACATGATTTTATATTAACATATGTGACCAAAATAATTTAGCATCCTTATTCGTTGCAAAAAGGCATAAACATCTCTGAAAAAAACCCAGACCACAGTAAGATTATCGGTAATCATGTTGTGTTAAAATAAATTTAATGTTTTTTTTTCTGTTCTTTAAACTACTGACAACATTTCTTCCATATTCCAAATTCAACAAACAATGGAATGACATGGCTGCCATACATGTAGGAATGAAGTTTTAAGACAAATTGGATGGAGGTCTCTTATCATGTGCATGAGCAAGAAATCCCACTTGTCATGATAATTATTGCGTGGGTCACATTAGGACAGAGGTGCTCTAAGGTAGATTACACTTCATTGTTTTAAGGCCACAGCAGAGCTAACAGTTTCTAACACTGTGCTCACATGCAGGGGTCCTAACCTGCCTAAAAGCAGACCCTGTGGACCGCCCGATGAAACTGGCCTACGACAGGCGTGAGGCTGTATAAGCGCTTTGTTGAGGAAACACTGACTTTTAAAGGTTGGGGCCAGTGACAAAGAAAAGGTGGATATGAAACAAAGCTTCCAATAAGTGCATTCAGCTACATGCAAAAGCACAACTACAAGGTTAAATCAAAGTGCAGCAGACTGAAAAGTAGCTCCTTATAGAGGGCAGCGCTGCAAACACTACAGAGAGCACAGTGTGCAAGGTGTGATCAGGGCACCAATGTTTAAAACTATACTACATGCATATTACAAAAGAAAGAAAGGGCGTGGATGACAATCACACACTCATTTGATCACACATCCAAACTGCATTGAATACAGTGACAATGCTGATTTGAAAAACATGTTTTTATGACATTCCCACACGGATATGCTACCTGCAGAGGGTGTTACCATTGTTGGCAAATACAGGTTTATTCTACACACCTCCACCCAAACACATTCCACAGAGTCTCATCATCATGGATATAGAACATGATTCATTTCAATGAATTAATGGTGAATTAATGACACTGTTAGAACAAAGTGGTGTTCACACAAATACACAGCAGCTGCAGATTGGAGGGAACAGTTGGAGCAATTTTCCGCACCACAACAATCCTCTGTGCATAACATTGTCTTATTGGTTACAATTTCACACCAGTCACTCTGTGTCTTAAATGGCATCATCGCAGCAAAAACCCAGTGTCTTCTGCTCCACTGTCAATACAATGTGGTAAGTGAATGTTGTTGTTGTTACTGTTGGCACTAGCACCCCAGGAAGTGTTGACAATGTCTGCATGGCTGGATACCATAAAGTGAGATGGGTTTTTAGCGGTTTTAAAGAAAGAAACTGATTTGAAACAAAAAGGAAAAAGAAATGTTGGAGCTTGTAATAACTTTGAGTGTGTATGATGTGTTTCTGTGACATGGGTGTGTTAAAGCAACACTATGCACATTTTTACCTTATATTAGCAGCTTCAAAATTAGTTTGATGGTTCACTGACTTGGAATAAGGAGAAATGGAGCCGCTTTCGTTTCCACTCCTCACTCTGAACGTCTGCCCTTGATCTACGTAACTTTGCTGAGTGGGTTAAATTGCCAGAATCAGGCCCAGCAAACTCAAGAGTAATACTTAACTGTAGAGCAATTAAAAATACTTAAATACTAGTATTTATCTCCAATATTCAGTGAGAAAAACGAACGGAATATCAAGAATATCCACCGTTCAGTTGTGTTTAAGTTCAGCTCTAGGCAGAGCTCTGATCAACACATTGGCTTTTTCTGTACAGGAAAAACCACTGAGCCCAACAGAATGAATCACCTCATGTGGCTCCAGAGGGTGCGATTGTTTAGTAAAATTTATATAGTGTGGCTTTAGCAAAGTTAGTCCCCACACATTTTTTGTTCCATTCTTTTTCTGGGTGTGTGAAAAGGTGTAACAGTAGGAGGGAAGAATCCAATGATGACGTGTAGCCCTGATCTATCTGTAATCAATACACGAGAAAGCAGCAGTGAGGCGCCCACCTACTGCCACAAATTGAGCACAATTACACAAGAAATCAAAAGGACTGAGACAATTCTCCATCTGGCATTCACCATATTTTCTAGCGAGTTCAGGAGAGACATTTTACAAACACGCTTAAACACAGTAAATGTCCAACACAACCTCATTATTTCTGTCAGATCAGAGCCGTAAAAAAGTGGAGGAGAGAGGAGAAGACGTTTGTTATGACAGTCATGTGGGGAGACTAAAAAGATCTTCTTATTTTCCTAATGGTTCCAGCTTTCTGCCTGTCTCTCTCTATCTTATCAGCTGATACCATTCAATGCAACAACTACTCAAGAACTGAAAGACCTCAACAGAAGAAATAAGCAATATGCTTAAAACCCGCTGCATTCAAAATATAAAAACATGTCTGCCTCAAACTCCTCAAGATACAGAGGTAGCAGTGTGTGTATATTCACTGAGAATGTCCTGCTTAGAGACTTTTCATTGGGCTGAAAGCCAGATAGTAAAAACTTAAGAAAACTGCTCTGGCGTCACAGTCAATGCAATCGAATTACCAGAGGGCAATGACAATGAGCCAAGTAAAAGGAAGTAAAAAGCCCCTTTAATTAGAGTTTATTAACTTTCAACATTGTGAGAAAAAAAGACCGATCTGCATTTTAAAGAAAACATTGGGTCATGATTTGAAGGGGAGTGATTTCCTAGTTTTCAAGAGTTGACATTAAATTCATAAAGATATTTAAATCATATTTAGATTCATAACGATCAGGTAGATCAGAAAATGTTTCATCCAGCCATAAATAAATTAAGTCCATGCTATTTTCATTTGGATACAACTAAATATCTCTCTATATATATATATATTATTTCTGTACCTGATGCAGCTGTAGTGTTTAAAGGTGCTGGCAGCTTTCTGACATTCCAGACAGAGCTGGATTGCACCTGGGTAGTCTTCCTCCTATAGAAACAGAGACGTGAGGTAATTTATTGTTTATATGTGAAAAAAACCCCACAAGCTTTAATGTCCAGTACAATATATACACATACCATACAATAATCAATAAAATAATCTTCTTTAAAAGGGTTTTTACAGCAGATCACCAAAGATCACACAGTGGTGGTCAGATCCATTCAGTCTGCTAAAGCTGACCTTCACCATACATCTGTATTTGTCGGAGCACCTAGTGTTTGTGTGGGTTTGGCTTTCCATGTGGATTGCATACTGAGTTTTAACCTTTCAAGTCAATGATAAACATCTGTAAGTGCTTGCGTGCCTGCGGGTGTGTATAGAAGGGATTACAATACCTCTAGCATCTCGCTGAGTCTTACATCTGTTCTTTGCTGTGAGGAGAAAAATGACAAGAAGAAGACATGAGTGCAGCATAAAATCCCTAACAGGCCTAAATATTTTAAAACTAGAATTACTTCCCTGCCGTTCTATGTCTCTGCCAACCAGTGCAGTTTTAGTCTACATGGTTTTTTTTTTAACAGCATGTTTGATTTAAACCTAAATAGTCCTGAGGAAGAGTTGTGATGATGATGATTAGGAATTACATTGATTTACTAACATGTTACACAGTGTTAATGACAGTTCATCAGCTACAGCTCAGGGTTGAGTCTCACAATAGCTGATTTAGGTTCCCAAACAAGGGAAATTAAAAACCTTCCTCGACGACAGTGGACATGATTTATGTTGCAGGTCAGAAAGGACACATGAGCATTCATCAACTGTAACAAAAAATGACTGACATTTACTACAGAAAGGTATGTTAATGAGCTTAAGAAGCTGAGTTTTACACAATTAATTCAAAGTAGGATGTAGAGTTTTATCCCGCTAAAGCAGATTTGAGTTTCATTAAACATACACAACACTGGATGCTGGAACTATCTGTGCAGAGTGTGGCAGCTTTGTTGCCAGGTACTAATTCAAATGTGGACATAATAAATGCAGGGCTGTGCCCACTAAAAAAGCATGTTATTACTGATAGGATATGTAAGCAGACGGATGGGTCCTAGGACCAAAAAACATTTGCAGCAATATTCAGTACATTACAACATATGTTGCATTGCATGTGAACACTGTGAGATGTGCAAATTTTACCAGGGTCTTGATGGTCCTCAGAGACTTGAGCAAGCCTGTCAGCAGTTGTCGTCTTCTCTGATTGGCCAGTAGACCCAGGCTGGCCTCTGTGAATCCTTCCTTCGAGACGCTCAGTTGTCTACACACAAAATGGTATAGTACAGAAACAATAAAGCATCAATTGACAGTGCTAAGTTTGCTGATATGTAAAAGTGCAGTATAGGGAAAATAGTGAACCAGCAGTGCTTTGTACTATGTAGGGAATGGTGCTGTATCTCTATAAATGTACTCAAACAATTACGAGACCTTTGTCTTTTTATAGCGGTCCTCTTCGTTATTAATGTAGTGGTAACACCAGAGGAAAACACATGGAGCTTTAAACTGGTCACAAATGTACAAAAGTAAATGAGATATACAATACTACAATACTCCACTTCCTCTTTTTATCCAGAAATCAACCCAAAGTAGGGCAGATATGAACGCTGCCATCTTCCACATATGATGTGATTTGAAGCCACAGTCTATGTAGTAGGTATCAGGGAATGGAACTGCAGTATTGAGGTCCCGCAGATACATATGCTCTGTGAATTGCGAGTCATTCTCAGATGTAAATCATATGGTTTTACCATCTTTGAATAGCATCAAATGACTAACCTATCAAATAAGGAACACTTAAAGAAACATCAGAGTGACAGGATTTACCCGAAATGACAGAAACCATCTTTGAAAACTGTATTTGTACTTTGATTTGTTTGTTTGGCCCATGTCCTATTCACTAACGTGGAGGAGGCAAGGGGGCGATCAAGACACTTTGGCTTCACTTTAGGGGAGCTGTCATGTCGTCCAACTTTGTATACAGTCTAAGGTCGCTACCCGAACAATACACAGTGCAATGATAACACATAAAAGTTTGAGTAACACAAAGAGAAATTCTCTCATAACCCACAAGAAAATAACAAGACTAAAAAAGACAGAAGTAACATACATTTCAAGGGAAGACAAGAGCGAATCACTTGTCATGTGTGACAAAAGAATGAGAATATATGAGGGAAAAGGGACAGTTACCTAAGTTGTATGAGTATGCAGATGTTTTTTGAATGGGCTATTTGAAGAGCCATTTCTTTTAGTGAGTGTAATAGAGCGCCATTACCTCCTTGCGTTAGTGCAAATGACTGCTGCCAGCTGCAGGTTGGTCTGTAATGAGGTTACTCTCTCCAGCTCCTGTTAACAAGGACCAGGACAGTTTTAAAAATGAAAACACAACATACTGTTTAAAAACACGGAAACATTTCAAAATCATTGTTTGAGATTGTACTTATTAAATGCAAAAACTTCAGAAAAACTGTATTTACAATAAACGCTGTTCTTATAATCGTAGAACACTTTGATATTGTTGCTCTGATTCATTTACAGGCCCGTCAGTGAGATATGTTTCAAATAAAGCCATCTGCCGAGCAAATCATCAACACACATGCACAGACATGAAGAGCAATGCTTGCTTACACACATAGCACTGCACTCTTCTTTCAGATGCATCCTGCTGTGAGCAATATGACGATAGATATAATAGATGATGCTGTTACGGTGGGGCATGTATTGTCAGCGACAAAACTTAATTCAGTTCAAGTGAATGACTTTACAAACAGAAAATCAGACGGAGCCTTCCTTTCTTCAGAGTGCTGACGTTTAGAAAAGGATCAATGAGCGCTCTGCTCTCCAGATTCGGTTATAAAAGCCACGTCAATGACCTCTGCAGAGAACAAGCGCGGCCAAAGTAGGATCAAGGGCAAACTAGATCGCCGTTATACTTTCGATTTTCCTCATCCGCTTTTGCATTTTTATTTTCTTGATCTGCCAGATGTCATGCCTGAGGTGAGAGATGTTGTTGTTGTTCGATCTTTTTTTTTTTTTTTTTTTGTACCACTCCTGTGTAGAAATAAAAAACTGTTTACTGTCAGACAAAACAAGCTTTTACCAACAAATTATAGTCTGAGGAATTTTCAACAGTGCTAAAGTGTTCACAGCTTCAAAGTGGCACTTCTGCTGTTGGTACGAATGTAATGGTCCCATTCAAACTTATGTGTCCTCATGATCCTGAGAGTTGAAGAAGAACTTGACAAGGTCTTTTCGAGAGACAGGATTTTCTCTGAGGGGACATGTACCACGAGAGTCATACTTTTCTGTGCGGGGGGCGAACAAACATTACCATGACACTAATTGCAAATAAAGTGTGAATACTCGACGGAGCATAAATATTAGAATGATATTGAGGTTCCATTTGGGATTGTTCATGTTGGCTGGGCTGTTGGGCCCTTGTGAAAATATGCACTCTACTGAAGGCTAGTCTAGTTTAACTTTTGAAATTCTCAAGGAAAACATGGAGTTGGTATAACAAACTGTTGCCTTTACTAATCAAACACGATGCAAACATCAATAAGCAATCATCTGCAAAGTCACTACATTTGTGAAAGCCAGAGGGTTTCTTGAATAATAAATGATATATCGTGGCCAGAACAGTTTCTTAATACATGAGGGTATCACGTTGGCCTTTGTGCACTCAGACATGCATTTAAATGTGTCGTCAGAAAATGCTCCTGCTCACTAAGGAGCAGGAATGATCTGGATCTGAGATGACTCACCAAGTCCAGCTGAGGAATAATTTAGAGACTACGCCCAGGATACTGATTCACATGCTGGGAACAGTGCAGCCATGTCTTTAACTCCTGCACCATTTACAACTGTAAACCTCTATGGCGTCTCCTCCTGACTCCATCAGTATCAAGATAGTGATGAAAAGTCAAAGTTGAATGAACTTAACAGTCGTGGTACAGGCCGGTTTAATAAGTTAATAAAAAATGAAAGAGTCAAGAAGTGCACTGTGGTAGCCTTTAACTGTCATAAAAATTTAAAAGGTGTTTAGTTTGTTCAGTCTGGACTAATGTAAAAAACATGGCGGCCACTGTGGAGAGGGTCCCCTCGATGTAAATATAAAGTATTTGAATATAAAGGGCCTTTTCTGGGGTAAAGATAACTACAATTCATACAATTTAGATGAAATGAACTAGTGAAAACATCATGAGAATTATTAAATGTCTGCCAATAGTTCCCTTTCACCTAAATCTTACACACTGGACCTTTAAGTAAAATGACATTCAAGTTGATATGAACCAACATGTGTGTAAAATATTTAACACATTGGACTTGATTAAACAAGCAACTCATCTTGCTGTGTTAGATTAACCCAGCATGTGGTTGTTCCAATAGTTACCCAGCGGTGAGGGTAGTGAAACAGAAATTAATCTTTCACTTCACGAGACAAACACACAGCTTGCATTGCACTCTAAATACATGTATGCCACTCATTATCAATGCACTACTAATACTGTGCACAGCAGTTGTGCACTTAGCCCATGATTCATATGAAAATACTTTGTGCATTCTATTTTGAGCACAAATCCACTCAGCAAATCAAGACAAAGACGACCTGAACACACACACACTTGGTCACAGGTATTAAAACAGAGACTCACACATGCTCAACATGCTGAGAGCTCAGTTTGTAGCCTGAGGCTCCAATTTGTTGTTAAACCACAGCTCTGTCTACAGGCTACACTTAACCTGACGGACGAAAGAGCAGATACAGTAACTGTGCACAGTGGTGCAGTTGGTCAGTCAGAGTTTAGTGGAAAAAAAAAGAGGTTAAACAGCAGGAATGAGAGGGATGTGGGACGAAGTAAAGAAATGCTGAGCAAACAGATATTCACGCACAGTAGGTATTTATGTACTGTACACATCCAAAAAAGGGGAACTTACTCACACACAATTAAATTATACAACCCCACTCCTACTGTGTCCACATACACAGCTGTGGTGTGGGAAGTGAAGGTCAAGGAGGAGGAGAGGTTCAGTCCCAAAGGAAAATCCTTTTCCAAGCTTTTCTATTTAAATTTTTATAAGAGGTCCTTCTTGTGACCCTCCAGCACATTGATTATGCACTGGCTCCTTGTTCACCCTCCTGCCTACACATCCTAGGGATGCTTCGGTTGGGGTTTTGCCCTAGTTGCTTTTACGGAGTGAGGTGAATGAAGACAGAGTTCAATGGAACTTTGGACGTAATTAAGATTCTCTCTCACAATTTTCTCAGTTTACATCAATAATTGACCTGCATAAGGAAACACAACAAAAAAATGGGTATGCCTGATCAGTTATTGATGTCTGTGTTGTCGTGTGGCGATGAAAGAGCCTTCAGACCGCCATGTAATTGGCAGGAATGACCACCAATGTTGGACAAATTACTAATTTCTCTTAAAGTAGCTAACTGAGGAAAGAAAACAAAATTGCCGGGTGTTACAGTGACGAATAAGTGTTTCCAGTTGGTATAATTGAATACCAGTCCAAATCCATTCTTCTGAGTGACCTGGTCAGGGCTAGCTGGTGCTAATGCATTACAAGTTGGTCTCTCCCGCAAGGCAATCTCCCTCTCTCCTGACAAGTCTAAGGGTCACTTTGTTCCAAACTGTCTATTTTTAACTGTGGAAATAACAGAGGGCATTTATTTTAAATAACCTATTACCTGTGTCTTAGGGTAGGTTAACACCTTGAACTCACAGAAAACAACTGTGCATGTGTTAAAAAACACAATTTAGAAGCAGATTAGGAATCAGCAGTTTTAAATGAATAAATCTTAATAACCTCTATGTAACCCCCACATGAGGAAACCAGATCATAGACAAGACACAAGCAGTGGCCATGTGTCACTAGTGGGTAGACGCAGGTGCCAACAGAGGAAAGGTTTGTCACAGCGGAGCTACGAATCACATCAGACACTTAGCGGACCCTCACTTCCAAGTGCTAACGCAGAGTCTATGTGTCTGCACAATTTGTGTCCCCTGACGTGTTGTACACAGTACTGAGCACTGGGGGGGGGGGAGTGGCATTGTGCCCTGTGGCTCCTAGTCTCTGTGGCAGGTTTGTCTGTGAAAATATGTTTCACAAAGAGGAGATACAGAGAGGTGTAGCAGGCGGAAAACAAATGAATGAAACACCTTACAAAGAGGCAGGTAAAGAGTTGAAACATGTACGGTATTCAGTGGCTTTCATGTTTAAAGGACAGAAACTAACTAGGTTGTATATGTGTATATAATAAATCTGCAAATCAAGGGGCAAGCACTAAGTGCATTGTTGGCTTCTTTTAGTCCGTGAATCTTTTCTGAATGATGGCAAATTAAGTAATAAAACTCTTCCTTCTCATTGTGACATAAATGTGCCCTCTGAACTCCGCAGGGGATGATTGCAGAGTTTCCCCAGGACAGTGGTAGCATCAAATGTGGAATCAAAAATGCGTTTTTATTCACGTGAGCGCAAACGCCTTTTGTTCTCTCACAAAGCGATACTGCCAGGAGGTGTTTATGAATCTGCTGGCACCAGAAGGGCTCTTGAGGCATGAGTACATTTGTGCACGATGAGGAGCAGGGGAATGTCTGCCAAGCTTGGATATGATGTGTTTGAAGATTTGTATTGATTTTAATAAAAGCTGCTTTCATATATGTGCCTAAAATTATTGACAAATGTTGAATAAAACTATATTAATGTAATTATATAATATATCAAATAGCAGCTAGATAGCAGTCATTCATTCTAGAGATTATCAATCACTTACAGTCCTTTTTCCAGATAACACTTGTATTGTATCACATATTCAATGAAAAATAAACTTAACATTTACAATGTTCCTTTAAGGGAATCAAATCCAAAGAATATATATATTGTTAATGTCTCTGGAGGCAATCGGATGTCTTTGAGATTGACAGCGCATGGTGGCCTCTGTGCATGGTGGGGCCAGTCTCCAGGAAAAAGAAGAACGGTGCATGTGGAATACCAACCATCTTTTTATCAAGATGGATCTTCCATATTTTTTAATATTTTTAGTTTCCTTGCATATTCCAATCAAATGAGTGTAAATGCTGTAACACTAGTGTGTGAAAGTTATGATTAACATTGTTTCTTTCATTTTTGACATGTTCTCACTGCTTGTTGCTATAATTGTTGTACTTTTAATCATTCATACACTTTTCTCGAAGGCGTGTGAATTGACATGGATATGAAACGTCTTTAACATTAAATATAACAATAGAACTAAATAGATTAAACAGAGCTCTCCTCTCCTCCCACCGCCATTGGGCACATGTATGGGAAACACTGGCCTGAATGTGGGCTGAGATGTGTCAGTGGAATTGCCCTTGGAATCCAATTAGCTCCTGCTGTCATTTGTAAGTGCAGAGTCACAGGGGAGGGTCATAGAAATAATGATCAATTCACTATTCATAGACTGACCTTCGGATGATTCAACATTTGCAGTAATATCACTGCAATTTCACAACATGGTAAATGTGTTAAAAGCTGCCGGTCGTCTGCCAGGATCAAAGCTTTAATGACTAAATTCAAAATTGAATGCACTCTGCTAAACTCCAACAGTCATGTATCTGATAGGACGAGTGAGGTCTGAATGCAAATTTAAATAAATCAAAAGACTTGGTCCTTCACTCAATTCCTATACACACAACCAATACATACACTTTGGTACACACACATCTTTGATATCTAGCTTTAACACTTCCGGGTGCTGTAAACATGATCACGTGATCCACGCAGTGGAGTTAATACATCACTTCTTGCCTCTGTCTGCTGCACCTGGCTGCTCCACCTCTTGTCTGAATAATGCAGAGGATTTGTTGCCTACGTGAATGCTTCTGTGCAGAAAACCACCAGTTTCGTTGTTCATGTGTGAAAGGCAGACTACGGGTAAACTCTGTTGACAATTCTCTGGATTTTACCCTGAGGTCATGTCTGAAAACGGCTTGAGTAGGTTCCTTCCCTTTCTGTGTGGCAGTGTGTTCATCAAACTACTTTAATAAAGCTTGAACTGACAAGAAAGTTGCTGAATAATGGCTTATTTAATATAAAGTTATTAACTTAATAAAACGGTGGTTCATTTCAGTTCATTGCAACAGCACTTGCTGATCAAAGGATTTTATGGAATTAGTTTGAATTCACAACCTGATCATGTTCTGAATAAAAAACTAGAATACTGTCCCAGTTTCTTATCCACGGGGGGAGTCAAATTTCATATTGCCATGGTTACGAAAATTCTACCTAATCTGGTTGACAGCTGGCGACTGACTCATCACATCCACTGAAACATTGATATCAATCAAGAAAGCCTTATGTCCAATAATACAATGAAATGTGTATATACGCAAACTCATCTGATCGTGAATTGACTGGGAAAGCTTACCTTGACATAAGAAGGCTGTTTCTCCAGAATGAGATCTGCAACCTTTTTAGAAACCTGCAGAGAGAAAGAGATGAAGAGCGACACTTGAGTACAAAAGCCAAAACTAAAATTACTGGGTGCAGTTGCATGCCTACACTAGAAAGTCAAGTTGCAGTTTACATCCATGCCCATCCAGACAAGGTTGTCACCTAATGTCATCAATTCAGTAGCAAATGTGAAATATGGTCACAATCATTCTTTCTGTTCCTGAGTAATGGCTATTTGTTGAACATTGTGATGTCACAGGGAAGTTGACCTTTGACCTTTTGCATTGAAAACGTCATGACTTCCATTCCACTCTTTTAGATGTGTGAAAATCTGAGCTATGTGCACAAACGTGTTTAGTGAAGTCACAGCGAGTTCATTCTGGAGTCCTAGTTAATGTTTGTGCCAGATGTAATAAAATTCCCCCGTAGAGGTCCTTGATACGTCACGCTCACAAGAATGGGATGAACGTGAGGTCATTGTGACCTTGACCTTTGACCGCCAAAATCAAATTTGTTAGTCCAAATGAACATTTGCTCCAAATGTGAAGAAATCCCCAGAAGGCAGTCCTGAGATATCACATTCGAAAGACAGGCAGGCAGACAACTCATAATGGCTCTGGCCACAGCTGTCGCCAGCACAGAGACACAAAAAGAGTGAAAAGACATTTTGATGATCTTCCCAAATGTCAGCCAACAAAAACTGTTTGGGCAGTTTAATCTTGCTATTGAGGATGGAGCAAGAATAGCAATCGCTGATGTCTGTATCTAAGGCAAGATATAACCAAAGCCTTTTCAGACAATGTCTCACTCAGTTTCATTTCATTTCATTTCATTCTCAACAGCTTCACTCTGCTTCTGTCTGAAAGTTCTCTGTTCTGTTGGTTGTTATTGTTGAGATTGAATGAACCATAGCCTGAGCCTCACTGAAGGGCCATTTATAAACAAGGTCAACATGTTTCGAAAGGTAAAGGGATTGTGAGCGATCTGTCTGACTATTTTTTGTGAGTGCTTTTTCAGTAACAACCTCAACAGTTCACTTTCAAATCTAGATATCACAGTAAAACTAATGTAAGAAGTAGTGTAGGGTGTATAAAGCTCCAAAAGGATGGGATCATCAGACTGTAAATAAAGACGGACTCCCACTACAGATTTTAAGTCAGAATACCTAGGCTGCCATTTTGCACAGATGGCAGCCAAAGTTTAATGATCAGGGAATAGAGCCATGGTAGCGTGGTCCCACTGATGCATGCATTCGACCAATCGGATGCAGGGGTTTATGATTTATTCTGCAGCCAGCCACCAGGGGGGCATTAAGACACTTTGGCTTCACTTTTAGGGAGCAGCCATGTCATTTTTATTTACAGTCTATGACTGGATCCTACTACACTTCCCATGGTTAAGTTAATGATGGCATTTTTCATTAGGGCAGCAATGACCACTAAACACACAGGATACCAGACCTGATGAGTCGGGCTGGGTTCTGCCAAAAATGTTGACATGATATTCAGGTTTGGGTCAGATTCTGTCATGTTGGCTGGGCTAGCTACTTGATTTGTTATGCTGCACGTGCCCGTAATCAGGGAAAATAGAATGCCTGTTTAGTTTGGTGCGAGCTCGGCAAACTCAGTCAGGTTCAGACAGATAATACAGCAGTCATGTTTTCTCAAAGTTGTCAAAGCTCATCACAAAACTGCTATTGAAAAACTTTCAAGTTTTCGAGGGTCCCCAGTGTTACACATAGATATGTTTAATAACAATAAATGAAATCCTTATTTATGCTCAAAGCTAAAATCTATAACTCCTGTATTCCATCACTTACAAAAAAACATATTGATTTCAATGTCAAAGTCAAGAATGAAAGTTCAAGAGGAAAACATTTGCATCTCACGACAAACAAAAGAGCTTGTTATGAATGAGATGCTCATTATCATGACAAAGGACAAATACTCCAGTTACTATCTTTCTCTGACTCAATGAGCAACCGCTTTTCTTTCATGTTTACAGTGCAACTATTTACACCAACACATACATTCACCAAGTACAGTTTTATGTTAAGAACAAGTTTATTCCAAGCAGTGAGGAGGCGTTTATATTTGCTACTATGCAGCAGATGAGACTAAGAGCAGGGGGATGACATTTCGAAAATGTGTAGCGTATGCATGGCAGCCAACTGGAGACCTGAACAGATGGCAAATGCAGCTCAGTTGAAGCTGCTCATTCCACAGGGTGTTAGTACCTGAGTGTTTTTTTAAAATCCAAACGTGAGTTAGATGGTCACGGTGAAAAAATATTCAGTACATGGAAGAAGTGAAAGAAATTTGACAAGTGAATGGTGGAGAAACAGAAAAACAATAAGAAGTCACGTTAAAGAAATACAGAGACTGACCCACTGAGCCACATAATGGAAATCCACTGATCTTAGCACAAAACAATAAACTTTTCAAGGAGTGTAAGAGTCTTAGTATGTCATGAAAACCATTTTTACAAGGGGAATAAAGTTCCAGAGCATCTGACTCAGACATTTGCATTATCCCATACAGCCCCTCTGGAAAACTTCGGGAAAATGTCCTGAGTTCAGTGCATATCTGAAAGCAGCTTTGTTCTAAGATCACCCTCACAAACACAAATAGAGGCAAATTTGGCAGTAACTGGGTTGCAAACCAAGCACAGTGCATGTATTATTTAGCAGATGGCAAGGACGAACTGGGACAAAAAAAATGGCCCTGGACTTTCTCACCCAGACCACCCAGGCCGGTGAATAATCAAAGTGGCCCAAAGATACATCTGTGGGCTACTCAAGACAAAACAAAAAAAGGATGCACAAGCAAGCCACAGAGCAAAGAGTCCAATGGGAGGAATCTCGATGGTCAGTCTAGCGACTATAGCAGATGGAATAAAACTAGTGACGGAAAGACAAAAAGTGATTTTTTTTCTGTATGGGGACACAAAAATGTGCCATCAAAGAGTGAAAAAGATGAGCAAACATGAGGGGAGTCACAGGAGAAGACAGATGCCGACTACACACTGAGGCTCACAAATATTATCCATCAGAGTGGATAATGAATGCTGACAGACGGAACATGTTTGTACAGTCTACGTCGCATTCACTCATTAGCAAAAAGACAGAACACTAAAGATACACTGCTTACATTAGGTTTTTAATCAATGTGTCTGAACGAGAACATGTTCACTATTTTATGCAAGTGTTCACCGAGATGTACGAGGCCATTAGAGCTAAATTAGCTCAATTAGTTAATTGGGGTTGAAGCAGTAAAATGTATCAAGCAGCTCAAAAAAATGAACGAGAAGGTTAGTTGGGACTGAGACAGAGTAAAGTCAACAGTGAGTTTCCTGGGTTTCCCCAAGTTACACATAACCCAAAGCAGTAGTGTAATGCACTTGTAAGGACAATTTGTCTGCACTGGAGGAGAGGAAAATTCAAATTGACAAAAGGAAACAAAAACAAAAAAAGATTTCAAATGTTTGGTGTTGTGGTGTCACATTCTGTCATATTGAGCACCACATGGGGTTTTGGGGCAGTCCTCTGCTTCTCAGAACACCTCTATGCACTGGCTTTGAAGCTGTTTGCATCTGTCATTGCGTCATAAAGCGATGCAACCTCTCATGTTTGAATTTCGCTCACATACACAACGTTAAACTTCTCCCTGCACAGTGGGATGTCGCTCCAGCCTGAGAGGAATTTGGCAGCCGAGCCAGGCTTAGGCAAAGGTTGCATAAGCACAGTTAACTTTAAAAAAACTTCATTACTGCTGCAGGAGGGATAGTCAAAGCTTTCAAGTTCCATTAAAAATTGAATATGTTCATCCAGGTTATTAATATCACTCCCCCAGGAATCTCTGCATCCTACGTTCATACATAGAAAGTCAATTGAAGAAGCGCTCTCGATAAAAAATACATATGTATATGTTCATGTGTCGGTACATTGTTCGTCATGTTTTTAAGTTAAAATTATAATTAGGATTCATGGGTTGAATGTTAATGTTAATGACAACAGATAAATGCAACCAGAGGTTTAATATACAAGCATGTGTGTTCATATTAATTAAGGCATCCTAGCATTTGTGTGTTATGGAAACCACACACAACCAAAGTGTCTCTGAATTCGGACTTTTTTCTTCTCATACGGGCCGAAAAAGGCAATTAGTCCTGAGACGAGCCTCTGCCAGGCGTGTGTCTGAGACGCCAATTAAGCTCGGACACTGTGGCGGAGAAACAGGATAGTTGTTCTCTTTCCCCTCTACCGCAGAAAGCCTGGGCTACTCTGGGCAGCAGATGACTCAGGAACAGAGGAGGGGAAGGAAAAACAAAGCAGGATATTCAATATCACTTTAATGAATGCAACAGCTCACAAACGCAAATAAACCTCCACACAGCAGTGAAATAAAGAGGTAAACAAGGGAATAAGTACATGCAGTACAGCATCGTTTATGCATTCATCAAACATCAGCAAGCCTCAGCGAGGACACACAGCCACACACACTCCTGCACTGAGTTGCTTTATACCTTATTTAATAGTGTCACGACATTTGCCAGGAGAAAGCATCATGGTGAGGAAGTGAGAGCACTATTATCGCCTCTTCAAAGGGCTACGCTCTGTTTCACAGAAGGGGGACTATGTGTCTTTGTAGTGTGTGTGTGTGTGTGTGTGTGTGTGTGTGTGTGTGTGTGTGTGAGTTGGGTTTGTTTTATTGCCCACCTGGAGAGACGGACCTTACATCAGTAGCAGCAGGAAATCGGCACCAGTTCGGTGACCCACAACATGTACACATTCATCATGTACAACATTACAATCTGATAAAAAGATGGAAAGATTAGCGAAGGATTTTTTTTTTGGTACATTATCAAATGAGTACAGTACTTCTTTAAGCTGTGCTGTTTATTAGTATATTTACTGATGAATAATAATAATAATATGAACGTTTCTGACAAATATGAAGAAAATCTCTCAAGGTGGTATTAAAATATCACAGTCAAGAAGCCAACACATTTTTTTTTATGAGGTCATAGTGACCTTGACCTTTAACCTGCACAAGCCAAGCAGCTCATCCTTTACTCCAACGTTTGTACAAAGAGATATGGCGTTCACAAGAATGGAACAGATGGACGGCCCAACAGACAACTTGAAAACATAATTCCTATGGTCACCACTGCTGCCAGCACAGAACAAGAAACAAGAAACCAAAAAAATAAATAAATAAATACAAACACATCACCAGAGTATAAGGCTTTTAAACAAAAGCCTCAGGGCAATGAGGTAGACAGGTAGACGGTTTGCTCGTGTAGATTTAAGATTGAAGGTTTGCTTTGATAAACATGATGAGAAAAAACATTAAAATGGCTATTCCCAGGATGTGCCTGCAGGCTCACAGCCAGAGAGAGAAGAAGCAGAAGAGAGAGACGGAGAGAGGGGATGTGCGAGACTACATTTGTGTGCTCTTAGGCTTCACACAAATTGCAGGTCTCCTTTTCAACCCAGCAGACGGCTCTTTGGGAAACTGCCAAACATTTAAATGAAGGGATGTGTAGGACGAGGAGCATTTATAGAAAGAGAAGAGGGATAAGAGGAGGTGTGGAGGACGGAGATGTGGCAAAATACAAAAATACATAAAACTCGAGGGGAGGGAGTGATGGAGACAAGCAGGTATGTGAAAGTACAGAGGCCTGTCAGGAAGGGTAAGTGGGGCAAAATCTTCACTGGACTTTGGGGATTGAGGGAGCAGAGGGGGGAATGAGATGGTTTCTAAAAATAGAAATTGTTGGCAGGCTGGCTCTCCAGTTTGAAACAGCGAGTATCTGACTGACCACGGAATGATGGCCACTGTGGAAATGGTCCTGCTGTGGCCACAGGAAAAGAATCACAGAGAGGAGGATGTTGTCACAACTCCTCTTCATCATGAAGAACAACTCCCAACCCTGGTGTTCTGTTTGTCCAGAGGAGCATGTTCAGGGCGAGAATCAGAAAGACTAAGTGCTCCGCCAAACGCCACGGGAGGTCCTTCCTTCCTGTGGCCATTCGGCTATAAAATTCCTCCCCTTCACGCACATCTCCATCTGTTTTCTACTGCTGAGCTGCTGATAAGTCACTGTTGACCCACATTACACTTTCATTCACTTTATTTTGGCACATTGCAGAGTACTGCTAAGTTACTGTCAAAGTTCTTTGCACATTTCCATTTTTGTCCGTACTATGATTCCACCTTACTTTTTGCAAATGTATCCATTTCTCAACAGATTCTGAGTGAGAGGTACACAGACCACAAGTTCTTGGGTTAAAGAGAGAGAAGTGCATTGCATACCAGTTGCAGGTACACACACAACTGCACCTAATAGTAGAGGTATAACCGTCTGTGCGAACAGTAACAAATTCATGGACTCTGCAAATAGCCCTGCATACAAATATATAATGCAGAAATGGACTAAAGCACCAGAGAGATCGCCTTCGTTAGGATGAGAAGTGGAAAATATTTTTTGGTTCATTATGAAAGACTGTGTCAGGAGAAATTAGAATATGGAGGGCCACCACACTCTAGAATATCAAGCATGCTTTGACATGAGAGATAGGGCACTAGCTTTGGCGGGGTTGGTTTTTACTCTTACTTTATTGCTTCATCTTTCCTAGTTGAGTGTTGAGCAATTATAACAATGTAATTTCTCTGTGTGGATCAGTTTAGTTATTGTGTGATTGTGATTCACTGACGTCACAAGAGTCTGCTTTAAAACTGCTTTTAAAACTTAACTCCTGTATAGGGCTTTCAATGGCATGTACGATCATCATAGTTGTCAACATACAGGATATTTGGGCTGCCTAGAAAATTGGAGGGTCTGTGATATTTTGCTATAAGATAATGAAACAAAGCTTTTATCCAAATGAAAGAGGGCTTTTTCTGTATTATTTTTTGGATTTATGTCCATACTTTAAGCCAGTTTGAGTAAGTTTGAGGCAGTTCTTTCATTTTCCGCTAAAAATCTACTTAAGGATAAATTGTTTCATCAACTGCGGTTACCAAGGTCAAGGAACAAACTTTGGATCTTAAGTTATTTCTATCCAGATATGACTCGCTCATCCTGATAGAATTATCAATTAGTTATTTTAGTTTTGTGTCCAACTTTCAAACTAACATGGGTATTTTGAAATTTTACTTGAATTTCAATCACATTCGATGAGCAATAAAATACTGCACATTCTCATACTCTGTGTCAACAGCAGAAGGTGTTTTGGCCCACAAGAACATGAATTAATTGAATGAAAAATGTTGTAGATGAAATTATAACAGCTTACATGTCAGCAGGTAAATCTCCACAACACATTATCTAATCCTTTCACATCTAAGTCAGAAATTACGTCAAAGTACCCTGACCGTGTCTCACACCACAGTGTGTATTGGTGTGTGTGTGGGATAGAGAGAGGTACGTACTGCTGCCTGTTGTCTCTTCAGCTTGTCTCGATACTCCTCCAGATCCTGCAGGTTCAGCTCAGGTGGGAGTTTCTATAATCACACACACACAGATAAAAACACACAAACTTATTTTTTTGTTTACGATGCATCCACCTACACAGGTGAAAACACAGAGACCTCGGCAGACACATTCAGATACAGTCTGCAAGACACTCGTACTTGCATGCCTACCGCTGAGCATAGTAAATGCCCCGACTGGGTGTGTGTCAGACAGTAAAGTAGAACTACACCAGCATCCCAGTTAAAGTGCTCAGGGCCACAGCAGGGATTTCCTTTATCTTAAGAGAGCAATTCTTCGTCAGTATCTTAATTTTTCTCTTTCTGTTTGCTCAGTAAATACAAAGCTACATCTAAGTCATATTAGCCGAGAAGGTGGAGGTTATTATTTAGTAAACAGCCAACAAACTGTGCTCGAAAAAAGAAGATATTACAAATCCACGGCCCAAAGGATGATAGGTAATTACTTTCCCCTTGACTGAGAGTCTCATTTCAGATGGTGTAGCAAAACCAAGATAAATCTAATGAGATTTCACACCCTTCTTCTGTGGAGCGGATACAATCCATCAATCAGGACGTCAACAGTGTGCATGCGGCTCAGCAGAAGCGTAAGAGGCAGCAGTTCAGGTGAGAAAGAGCTTTAACTCTGCCAGTCAGATGGGCTTCAGAGCACAGGAATCCACATTTATTCACATTATAAATGCAATATTGTCGTTATCCGAATTACTGAAATGTGGTGTTTGCGGGAATTATTATTATTTCTCCGAGGGGCGTGTTAACATTGGTATTGAGTCATCATTTGACAAGCAAGTGGTGCTAGTTCAGTCAATAACGCAATAATAATGCTCGCTCATTCAAGTATCTGACCTCCAGTTCATGCTGCACCATGTCAAAGGAGTCGTTGGAGAAGTAGACCTCCTCAATGCTGTTGATGATCTCCTGCTCCGCCTGGGGGTCGATGGACTGTTCCCTCAACTCCCGCAACTCCTCCTGAAAGAGGGTGGGGAAAAAAGAGAGAATTAAATCACTTTCCATTCCAGCTAATGAAAACAACAAACTTCAAATGAAACATCAAGGAAAAATACATAAAAACAGAGAAAGAGAGAAACAGGAGAAAGAAAAAGAAAACAGAAAAGAAGAAGGGATGTGAGGGGAAAGAACATTAAGAAATAGAGAAAAAAGGGGTATAGAGGAGTTTAAAAGCAAAGGAGAGAGGGAAGGTGAGGATAGAACAGAATAAATGAGTTGGAGAACAAAGTGCAAGAAGAGAAGTGTCGTGGGAAAGAAGTGGAGGAGAAAGCATTAATCGTGGGGTTTGGGGAGAAGATTGCAGCCTGTTTCATGGGGGATAACACGCAGCCTTCAGAGGGAGAAAATAGGAATGACCAAAAGAATTCAACCTGGGATTCCCCCTTCAAAGCTTCTCTGAGAAACATTAATGCCTCATTGATTAACATGCTGTGCATCCATCAAGGTTTAGTGCTGGAGTGAGTCTCTTAGATAAAAGGTTTTAATTCCACATCCCCCCCATGCTGCGTTAATGAGCGCAGATACAGTCACAGGTGAATAAGAAAGTGGTGATTGTGTTAGCAGCATACAACAAGCAAGGAGCAAGTTCAAGGTTAAAGCTGCATATGGTGCACTAAATCTACCCTCCCACATCATATTGGTGTGAAATTTATATTCTAGCTGCTGCAAAATATTAGAAAATGCAAATGAGCATAGACTGTAATAAAAATTGGATGTAGACTGCTGATCTGGAAAATGAAACCAATGCAGAAGTGTCTGAACCCTGTGTTCTCTAAAATAAACAGTAGAGGGCGTCTCCACTGGTTGCAAAAAATGTCTGTTTCAAAACAATTCTTATATGATATTCATTTCATAGATGATGGTCCCATTTGTAGAGTAGAAGATGAAGCACAGTGTGCATAGGGACACTGATACAGCTGCAGCCGTCGAGAGGGTGCAGGTCGCAGGACTATGTGCACTGTCCTCGATCCCTCAGGATTCAGCCCCCAAAAATGGTTGCTTCTGGTTTGAAAAAAACCAAGGTGGAGCAGACCAAAGTGCCAAACTCAAGGCTTTAATTGAGTTTACAAACAAATGGCTACGGTGGTAGCCGCTTGGTGAGCTATCTGAGGTTGTACTTGAACTAAACACCAAAATCAGCCTTCTAAGGTGCTCACAACTACATGCTGAAGCTGATCAAGTGAAGTCTACCACGTTAACTATCTTAGCTTAGCATATTAGCATGCAAAGATTTGGACAAATATAAAATATGACTTCATGAGAACCACATTGCCAGTATGGCTAAAACACCCTAAAAAAATCATAGTTAAATACTATATTTATATGACATAAAAAACTATTTTATGCTCAGTGGTCCCACTTCACGCTCTCACTGAAAATGCTTTATTCAAGTTACTGCTGAGTCTAACTTTTGTGGGATTAATACATTGAGGTTTCACCATAATGAATCATCATGGCGCTAAAAATAGACCATAAGCTTAGGAACGAGGATAAATGTGGATAAATGCAATCTATACATCCCTATATGCATCCACATAGAAATCTTTCAAGAGCATCTCCACACATCATCTTACAGACATCATACGATAGCAGGCGCTGATCAAAAAAACCTTACACACCTGCCTAGGCACAAATATCCTCCCAGCTATTATCAGCATGAGGCGTGCAGCGAGGCGACCGAGTGAGCGATCCATGCAACCAAATCTTGTGGCTGAGCGTCTTGCTGAGTGACATTTATACGAGGCAACGCCGCTGTGAGTAATACTAATGTTTGCTGTAGCATCGAGCCTCATTTAATTCAATTACACAAACAGAATCCCCCTTTTATGCCACATTTAAAATGTACACCCTGCGATTGAGATGATGAAAATAAAGCGTTAAATGTGTTAAAAAAAATGTGAGTTTGCAGGTGTGTGAATCTGCAGTGCACAACCCTTCAGGTGAGTGCGTGTGTGATTTTTTTTGCCATGTTAAATCAGGTAAAGGAGGGAGCAGGAGCCGTGGGGGGGGGGGGAAATGTGTGGGTGAGCGTGTGAGATCGAAAAGGAGGGGGTAGAGGTAGGAGGAAGGAGATCACGCTCTGGCATCAAAAGGGTGGGTGGGAAATCAGCTCAAATGAGAGGCAAAGCGAAAAGGGAGGAGAAGGGGGAGGGAGGGGGAGGCGGATGAGTCATTGGTAGCAAAAGTTAACGCAGGAAGAAAAAGACAGAGGAGCGAGGGAAAGAAAAGACAATGAAGAGTCTCTCCCATGAAGCCACTCCAGTGCGGTTTAAGCAGCTCACCTCTCCTGTGCTACCGTCTCTTTCTCTCTCTCTCTTTCCTCTACCTCCCTCGCCTACCTGCAGTGACGTGAAGAAGTCTAAACATCTTTAAGTGAGTGACTCATTGAGAGGCCACCTTGGGAAAATGATTCCCTTCCCTGCCAGCCACTGGAAAGGAGACGAAGCCAAAAGCAAAAACGGAAAGCAACAGACGCCCCTGTGCCCCACACGTGAAACCCAACATCAGCTGCTGTAAGGCTTTGATCCAATTTTACTTTGAAGGATGAGGGAAAAACAAACCCTTCACCCCCCTCCCCAACTCTACCCCTCTTCCACAAATTAATGATATTCTCATCTGGTTGCAGAAGTTAGAAATCTATTTGCATCTATTTCCACTGCCGGGTGTTTAAAAACCTTTATCTGAAAATCAAAGCAGATATATTCGTCTGGAGTGGTCAATGAATGTGGAAAATCAAGCACGGGGTTGAATAAAAAGGTGGGACGCTGATAAAACAAAAACCTGAGTACACAGCAGGAGGAGGTTCATGGAAAATCCTGGGAGAAAAAAAGATGATGGGATGTGGAGGGCGAGACGAGGGCCAATTATTCCCACTAAGGAATCATTCATTAGATGAGCAAATCAAAAACGCTCCTCATTGCAATCAGAGCTGAATATGTATGCTAACCAAGTGTTTACCCTCATATGCTCCCGAACAGGGTTTTTACACAGCTGTCCTCTGGGACATTAAGTAAAAATGACAGCCAAGAGGCCGCAACAGTGCTGTCACCTCACAGGTTAACGGATAACATTAACGACTCTTATACTTTTTATTCGGCTCTAATAGTATTCCCGTTATTTTGTAATGAGCGTATAATCACGTCATTGGAAGCACATTTATACAACAGCCTCTCTCAGAAACAAACCCTCAGGCCGTAACACATGTGAAGCGTCAAACTGAGCCATGTTCCCCTTCAAGACACCCCCACCATGAAAGCTCCTGTCAGGTTATCAAACATGCCCCCCTCTCCTAGCTTTAGCCTCAGCATCTATCTGCCCACTGGAGGAACTAGAGAATAGTACAACTTCGATGAGGCAATGCAATCTGCACGAGTAAATGAATGTGGTTAGTGAAGAGAGGACTTTAACTCTGAGATAAAAAAATAGAGTGTAATGAGTAAGCTGATGGTGACCCCCGCTGGTGAGAAATGGTAACTGCATGAACCTGCAGCAAGATTTGAAGAACTGAAAATGTTCCAGATGTAACAGATACAACATTATGTAGCAGGTTGTTAAGACAGCGACATGTTACAGATAAATTGTGAATTCAAATTTTTAAGAAGTCAGAACCAAACCATGTTTTAATTTAGCTTTAAGTATGACATTAACAAACTAATCCATCCATCCGTCCTTTCATCATCAATACCAGTTAATCAATACCACCAGTCTCTAATTAACCTAACATCAATCCCCATGTGTGGACAGTTGGAGGAAATCAGAATTCCCGAAGAATATCCATGCAAACACAAGGAGAAACTCCATACAGAAAGGATTCAAACCTGGGATTCAAACCCGGGATTCGAACTGACCTGAAACAGTTCATTCATTTTGGACGTTGAGATTATTTTACTGTCAATCACCTCATTCGTTAGTCAACTCATCATTTCAGCTCTACTTGTGGCTAAAACAGCTGATACATCTTCAGAACCTCCCTGAGAGTCAGTTTAAAATATTTCATAAACTCAACTGTTAAAAGTTGCTTCACCACAAAATGTGAGACAGTAAATGATGGAAATCCAGGCTGCAGAGTGTTGAGGAGGTTCAGGGAGATAATGCACCATAACACCGACAAAAGAAAATCCTCAAAACAGACTCCTTGAACAGACAGGATTGGAACAGCAGAAAAAAGGTTTGCTGGTTTGTTTGTTTTTAGTGTGAACCCACAAAGCAGCTTATACCTTCTCAAGAAGGCAGAGAGATTACCTTAAGGCATAAAAATATCAAAGTGGTCAAAAATAGCTTTAGTCTTTTGGAGCTAAATACAAACATAAATAATTTATTTTATCTCCCTTTTTAACCACAATCCTGGGAACATTATCACATTAAAATCTTGAATAAAGTCAATGTTTTATTTAAATGAAAGTCCCCAGCTCATTGTCCTGTTTAACATGTAAATATGTAGAGGACATCGAGGACACAGCAGCAGGTGAACAGGGGGATCGGATGTTCTAGGAGGCGATTATTTCCCCAGAGCGTAAAGTGTGGCTAAAGCCAAGAATCTGACTTCTTTATGCAGACGTACACAAAACCTGAAATCGTTGGAAGCAACGAAATCTAATGTTCTACTTCAGCAGCAGCAATGCATCAAAAAAACAGCTTGAAGCATTTTGCACCAGTCATCAGAATTTCATTATCCTCTGTAATTACACAACAAAGAGTCAGATCTGTGGGAAAAGTTGCCTCTACGACCCTCACTCGGGGGATGGCAGGAAAAGTTACAGGGAGTGTCCGGAGCGACTGACTCAGACAATTGCATTCTCACATGCATCATCAGCGACTGTTACACTGTGAGACAACATGTTCCTAGCATGCCCCCAGCTCCTCTAGCTGGCTACATCTCCATAATTATGGAAAGCTGTGATGGTCATGTGGCCTCTAATAGAAAGCTATGAAAGCAAAACTCTTCATTTACCAAATACTCCCACTCTCTCATACACTTGGGTAACAATGACTTGACGGCATCATTTATCAATCATCCTCCGCATCAGTGCCCCCCCTGCAGTGAGCCAGATGTTGCCGTCATGTTGCTCCTGGGGGATGAAAAACGATGTGATCAATGCTAAACTGCTTGGAAACACATAAATGGCTCCAGCCGATACTGATTATATCAAGTATCATAATAATACATGGATGCAGTCAAGAATCTTGATCTCATTCTCCATCAGAGGGCATTGTGTTCAGTCGTGCAGGATTGCAGACAGTGGTCAACATGACTTCTCACTGAGAGGACTTTGTGCGGTTTGGTAAAACAGTGGCAAGATGAAGTATGTGATTCCTTTGGATGAATATGATTAAATTAATGTGATCTGCTCCAAGTCACAAGGAAAGACAGACACAGACTATATTTCCAGAGATACCAATAATATGACTATTCACCTTATACTGAACAAGACATTATTTCTCTTTGCATGAACAGCTAATAGAACATTTCATTCATAATCACAAGGCATAGTCTGATTATGAGGTCAATGTCTGCTGTACAACTCCAACAGGTTGTTATAATGCGATACAGACATGTCAACATAAAACTCCACGTTTTAATTTGATTATCACTTATTTAGAGTCTGACCTTATTCAGGTAACGTTACTCAGAATTGTTTACATGGCAGCATCTTATTCAGACGATTGTCTTAATTGGGTTAATATCAGAATATTAGTGTGCATGTGAACATAATCATGATCTATTTAAGCTAATAACACACATATTGTAATCTTTCATGAACACACCTATTAAACACAGACAGTGCTGATGGAAAAAGTAAGTACCAGGAGTACCCCTCTGCTGTAACCTGAAACAAACTAATGCAGGAGCTGCACGTCCAACATGCAAGATGTTCAGGAGGAACTATTCTTCCATCAGACATTCTCTCAGGATGTCTGGTGTGAGCAACACACATTCTTGACGTCATTCCACAGCAACTTCATTGGGTTAACGAATGGGCTGCCCGCTTTTCTTTGTCTGATATTGTGTGGTAGAGTTAAACTAGTAGAGTGTCCTACTGCATCATTAATCCCCCCCCCCTGTTTTTGTAGAGCAGCAGCTTCCTCTGCTGTGTGCTACCATGGACACCGAGCTCTATGCAACCATCCAGTATGATTAACTCATGCTAGACTCAAGAACTAAGATGTGAGCCAGCTCCAGTGATACCTTTAAGCCTTTAGTCCGTGTTTAGATCTGGTATTAAATCCGTCCTGAGAGATTACGATCACAAGTGTTTTGTGAAACTGTAGGTCATAAATGTAGCTGATTATATATCTCTATATACAGTATATGAAAATATAGGTAAAACAAATGTATACATAAATTTGCTCATGTCTAAGGGTTACTTCTTATTTTGTTCGAAATATTGTATAAATACAAAACTGAGGTACAGTATTATATATAAAGCCCAGTCTGAGAGGGTCCTATCTCATTTCCTGAAAGCTGAAACGTCCAGCGGCAATGTAAATAAAGTCAAAGCATAATATCATCAAATAATAAAGCGTGTGTTTGGATTGAACACATAATAAGCACATGTTTGCAGTGCACACAGGAGAGAGAAAGAAGAGGAAAGTGAATGTAACCATCACATTTATACAAACTCTTGCCCAGTTTTTCTGTCTCGCTGTACCACGCTGCCTCATATCACAGAAACTAAACAGAGCATATACATGTTTAGATGCACAGTCCTTCTTAAGGGCCATACGCTCAGAATGAACAACGGCCTAAAACACAAAAGGGTGTTTGATTACTGCATTTCAAGTTTGGCCACATTGACTGATATCAATCCCAGAGCCAGGGGGGGAGACATGCATCATGTGAAAAGAAACAAATCTTTCCTGAGGCGCTCCCATCTGCTCCCACTCAGGCTCTAATTACACTTCTAGGGTAAATGGCTGCTTATCTTAACTGAGCTTGATCTGTGTCACTGTGTGGTTTTTCTGCAACAACAAGTACAGCAGCAGCAAAGCTTTCTAGAACTTATGACACCAATACGATCCAATGACCGCAAATGATCAAGTTATTATATATTAACACCCAAAAGGTCTGACTTGCTGTTAAATGACATCATAATACCGAGGTCCAGTTCTGACAGAAAAAAATCATTGTAATATATGAGATTTTTTGTGGTAAACACACACTGCTTCTGCTCTTTTGAAATAAACAATTAGAAAATTCAAAAATCTATCTTTTGCAACACCAATAGAAGAATTCAACTCCCTTAAATTAAATGAATCCAGATTTTTTCCCCATCAAGCTCCATGAATTATTCTCTAGGAAATTAGTGAAAATTAAAGAAAAACACCCTATCTATAACAAGGGGGGAAAACATAATGCCAAGCAGAAAATGCCATGAAGAAAATTCTTAAAATTGAATTTTAAGGAAAGACAGTGTAAGTGTTTACTAAAAGAGAGAGATCTTTGGACACAAAGAAGTTAAATGTCTGGTTGAATCCGCCTGCACTGTGAATAAACAGAGCTGGTCACCTTTCAAATTCTACGCAGCCGCATTAACAGAAGGTCATCACTATGAAGCAAAGTCAAGGCAAGGGGAGCAGTCAGCTGTGCATTGAGGTGTAAGTAAGTGAGTATATACGTTATATAGACCCACCCTGCTGCTTCACTCTGTTCGCTCTCGACAAATTGAATTTGCACAAGTGTGTAATGACAAATGCTTCCTGTGACTAAACATGACTGATCACGCTTTCCAAATGCCACCATGCAAAAATGTCTGAATACTGTTACTGCAGACCACGTTTCACACGGTTGGTGCTGGGATTGATGTGGAGGGAGTTCTTAAGTAATATAAAGAGGAGCCTTCACACTGACTGTGTAGGAAAACCTGTGGCTGTGATGTAGCAAATCTGCAAGAAGCAAATGTAACACGATGCATGATGGATGAAAACATACACAATGAGTCTGCTTCAGCTGTGAGGCCATGACGACACATTCAACCGAATGATTTGCACTGTGAAGTTCTGTAGAACTGGGGGGGGCTTCTACCACTCATGTTCTAGCATACTGCATTACAGTGTGGTGTGCGAAGACATCTCCAGCTCACAGTGCCTCTGCAGGGCCAGGAAAATAACAAAAGACCCTTCTTGGTCCAAAATGTTCACTGCCCCCTGGTTGACAGAACAGGAGCATCAAAAATCTAACGCTAAACTACCAATTTATACGATGTACTGACATTTATTCACATAATTTTAAGTGCAATATCAATTCTGTGAAATTGCAAATATATCTTTTGAATAATTTTGCACTGTTTTTCTCTTGTGTTCTATTCTATTTAAAACAGTTACTAAACCCAACAAATGTGCTGCGTATAACATGGCAGCTGAAAAGCACATTTACAAACGGTCCAAATTTCACTTGACACTGAGAAGAATAAAAGAACAACAACGTGACAGAACTGTAAACAGGAAGCATTGAAGTTACTCGGACCTAGCCACACAATGATCCAGATGAATATAGGGCAGGTAGCAATCACACATCAGGGGTTAGTTTTATAGAGTGTGCAGCATAAATGTAAAGGGCATCAGAATGACAGGGACAGATGTCATGGAGTTTACCTTGCTGGGGATCCTCAGGTTCTCCACAGGACTGAGGTCAGCCATGCTCTCCTGGGGGCTCTTCAGGCCCTGTCAAAATAAAACTCACTGTTAACGTATTCACTTGTTATAACCTGTCACACAGCACACAGTGGAACAGACAGGCAGGTGATAAGCTCTCTCCACCATTACTGAACCTCCCTCCCCGTCCTCTGTCTCCACTGTTGTGGGGTTTGTGTAATGCTAAACTCGTACAACTGTGAGTGTGTGTAACTGTGTGTGTGTGTGTGTGTGTGTGTGTGTGTGTGTGTGTGTGTGTGTGTATCTGTGTGTGTGTGTGTGTGTGTGTGTGTGTGTGTGTGTGTGTGTGTGTAACTGTGTGTGTGTGTGTGTGTGCTGGTGAACACGTGTGTTCTTCAAGTGAGCTCGACTGGTGCTGTCTGTGTTTGTAGTAGTTTGGCTGCCATAAGAACGAGCTGTCAAATTAGCTTAGCTTAGCCGCAGCTGTCAGAGGCCCGGCGGCTCCGCCTGTGTCCGGCTCCTCTGCTCACCTGCCGGGCCATGAGGGACTTGATCTTCTGCATCGTGACTCCAGCCAGGCTCAGCGGACCGATACACGGGGAGAAGAGCCTGAGGTTTGTGTTGTTGTTACCGACGAGCCTCCATCACTGCGAGGGGGGAAGCCATAGTTGAACTGTCATGTGACCGGCACGGCAGGGACCAGGAAAAAGAAAGCCAGAGCATCTTGGGAAATGTAGTTTGTAATGTTTATTGGCCTGTGGCATGATCGACTGACAGAATATCGCAGTTGAAAATACTGGAACTTGTTGACATTAAATAAGATAAATAAAATGTGTGTTTGTGTGTTGTAAACAATAAAGAATATATATTTAAAGGTAGAGTAAAATACACTGTAATATATAATACACCACTGGATGGTGGTAATTTAACATCATAAAAGGAAATAGAATAGAATAGAATACTAGGCAGCAATGGTTATTTTGCCTATGAGAAATTACAAAGCTTCACCAGTGGTAGAATGTAATGCATAAGATTTTTTTAATTAATGCACTTAAGCATTTTAAAAACATATAATCTTCTTATACAACATGATACAGGAATATAGGTTAAATTTCCTACATGAATTAATTCAAATGAGCTTTATCTCTTCCAGACAAACCCTAAAGCCCTGAGTACTCTATAATGAAATGATATTAATAATCCATTACTATATTTTATTATATGAAATAATATAACAATGATGGTAGCCATTTTTCAGCATAGTTTTAATTTTGATACTTAAAGTACATTTTGCTTATTATACTACTGTTGGCTATACTTTTCTAGCCTTTTAAGCCTTTGATGGAGTACTTTTAGATTGCAGTATTGCTGCTTCTTTGAATATGTCTTCTATCGCTAATAGCTGTCTGTATACAAGCAGTATGCCATCAGCACTAAATAACTTTGTATTATTATATTTTGTTTTGCTGCATTGTTAAACAGACCAGAATATGTCTTGTTACCAGGAGTAATTGTGTCACGCCATCCAGCACTTGATGCCACATGTCTGCCAAGCAAATAGAACTTGCTCTTAATTGTAAACTGTCCCTAACAGGTACAAATCGATGTGGTTAAAAAAAACACATGCAGAGCCTTTCAGCCTGCTCTATAATTGCTCCCTGAGGTGTTACACTGAGCAGCGCCTGGTTAAAAACAGGCAGCCAGCAGACAGACAGACAGCAGGAGCTGTGTTGAGCTATTTCCTAGTTAATGAAGCCTCAGGCTATTTCCAAGTCAAATGAAGGTGAGGTCAGTCTCCTCAGGTGAGTTTACTCCACTGTTGTTTGTCAGGCATATCATCCACAGTGCTTAGCCTCTCCCTTAAAGCATACACTGAGACGGAACAGATGGCAGCCACTACCCGGAGATGCCTCCACAGAGACACAGAGCACTTGGTTGGTCAGTTCGTGAGCTATAATTAGATTCAATCAACTGTGTTGTTAAGCTGGGGAGAATCATGATAAGCAGAATTGATTTTCGTAAATCAGTGAAGAAGTAAAAATGTGACATATGTGACAATATATCAAATAACTCATGTCTCCGTGTAGAGAATTGAATTCAATAGTGAAAAATCTTACCAATGACCAATATACATAAATCAAGAAGACTTGGAATTTTGATACATTTGAGTTGCTGCATTTTTTTAGAAGCCCATAGCATTGGGGTGACATAATGAGGGCAACTCAATGTTTTGGTAATAAGCTGAATTTTATCAGAAAGCAGGCAAGTGCTTCTGAGTGATCCACTGTTCAAGGTGAGACAGAATAACAGAGACCTAACTGCTGCTTTCTCAAATACCTTTTATAAACTGCAGATAAAGATATATTGACCTCTATCTTCTTTGTGTCTGGTTCTTTCTGTGCTCGTCTGCATCTCTAGCTTCCCTCCTCCTTCCTCACACGCACACACACCCACACACACACCCACACACGCAACCACACACACGATTGTATCTGCTCGTGACAAGGTGTCAGCGGGAGCAGGTGGAGGTCCTCTGCCACATGGTGAACCATCCGTCTGTTGCTGCCTGTCTCCAGATCTCGCCAGGTACACACAGCAACCAGTACGGCCCAGCCAGGCTGAGATAAACAAGCTCTCTGCATCAATTTCAAGACAACAAGTACAACTCGTACACTTGTGAAAATTTTGAGACATCACAGCCAGGACGTCCAACAAAGACTGACTGTGAAGAGACAGAGAAACTGAGAATCTTTTCCAGCTTCAGCCAAGATCTGTGATAGAGCGACTGTTCATTTTAAGTCCACGAGTGCCACTGCCATCCAATGAAGAAGGAAAAAAGGAAGTATAATTGCAGAAATTGTCTTCAACTGACTGTAGGCAACAAAGTGAACCAGAATAGTAAACAGTTATGTCTTTAATAAAGTACAAAACAGATGTGTGAATGCAGAATACAAACTGTACAATAATTTAAGAATTAATTTAAGAATTTTCTTTGTTTCAGCATTTCATTACAGTGTTTCCATGTCGAGCAGAAAAATGCTACATTTGATGAAATTAAGTTAAAGAGTTTCTATAGGAATAAATAGATTTCAGCAAAAACATAGAGATAGAATAATATGTATAAAGAATCTGCAGTGTAGACCATGTACAATATATACAGCACATTTAACCAAGATATATTTGATACAAGAAAATCCATTAATTATAACACTTCTCATACAATAGATTCTCTTTGGGGGAAATGTTGAATTAGAAACATATAAAGTTAACATCAGTATCTAAAATTAAACATTGGTTTTAAATAGTGTGGGAGTTATTTACCTTGAATTTTCAAAATAATGTGAAGTGCTATCACATTTGCATGGTATGATGTGATCTACATTATAGAATGGAAAAAGAACACATTCAACACCAGTTAACGTTTCACATTAAAAATAAGTCATTCGTACATTTTGAACTCACAACAATGATCACATTTTATTTTACATCTGTTCCAAACTCTGGACAATAACAGTGCACGATCAGGTTACTCACCCTTGTTTTCTTCATCCCTTGTGCAAACAAGTGGGCTACACAACCAGCGAATCAGTCTTTGATAACAGACACTTAATGAAATAAAGCTAAGAGTCTTTTTAGGGAAATTACTGTAAGTTACATCTCAACTCTCTTGCCAGAGGTTACTTCAACAGACTGTCGGGGTTTCGGGGACGTGTCTGATCACATCGTAGATGGTGGTGTGCATGTCCTGGACTGACTCGAGGCGGGCCAGAGATCTGCATGACACCTGGAGGACAGTTGCATAGGAACATTTTGTAACACAAACGTATTTAGACAAAAAGAGGTTTGCTGTGTCACCTGTGAATCCATATTGATGTGAAACATGTTTAATACCTGTGTAGACTCAATTTTCCCAGGTATGGAGACAAACTCATAGATGCCAAAGTCTTCTGTTGCATCCTCGTGACCTGTTGATACCCAGGTTTTAATATAAGACAACAGTTGGGTCATTTGGGAATTATTTCCATTTTCACAGCTCTATTCATCCATCATTCCCTGTGATAATGCTTCACATGTACAGAGGATGTGTATGTAAAGATGATATAAGTATAGTGTGGATATCCTTGAAAGCAGGTGGAAACATCTGTTAACAAGCAGCAGCTTACCTGAACGATGAGGTTTTTTCTGCTCCGACATTGGTCTGCCAAAAAAGAAGGGAAAAAACACAGTTAAGTAAAACTTATGTGTATGTATGTGGATAAATGACACACTGTGTATTCATTTCATATTTCAGGCTCTTACCTGTTGTAGATGCTCATTAGCACTGTTGTAAAGAAGAGAGAGAAGAAAGAAATTATTCACAAATATAGAAAAAAACGTTTCAAATTTTACTATAATCAATTCAAATTCAAATGTAGCAGTTACTTTGTCCAGGCTACCTTCAGTTTGCTATGGGTTATCGCAACAGTGTCATGTCGGCACCGGAGAAATGTCTGGTTATTATTTTGACACATAGCAAAAAAAATGCTCTGGCTTGTTTGAATTTCTTTAAACCAATCACAATCATCTTAGGCGGCTCTAAAGCCATAGTGCAGTGACAGCGTCCTTTCAAATTGTGTCAGTGGGAGAACTTGGTGGAACATTTGCCTGTGGGGTGATCACTATCATTAAAATGGCAAATTCTCCGCAAATAAAATCAGCTTAAGATACGATGAAGTATGGCTAAATCCAAATGGCAAGACTGCATTTCGCAGAAGACTGAGGGTTGATTCCAGAGGGGACCTGACATGAACTTTCTGCTTCAAACATTTCCACAGAAATGAGTGAGTCAAACTTTATGCCTGTTTATTAGTTGCTTATCAAGCCTGGCACTGCTAGAAAAACACAAACACATTATCTTGCCTCTCTTAGGATTGCAGGTTCTCCTGAGGAAGAACAGCAGCAAACAGCCAATCGTGAACAAAGAGCAGACAGTAATGACGGCCAGAGGAGATACATGACTGCCGTCCTGGGTGTGTTTCTCTTTTCCTGTAATAAACACAAAACACTGATATTAACATTAATTTGAGCAAAGCTAAATAAAGGATAAATTCCAATATGCTAGGTGATTCCCTGACTTTTCATTATTAGGTCAAAATGTCAACTTGTCCAAAACTAAATACATTCCCATCAAATCCAACTGTGTAGGTGTATAGGGCTTATTAAATTTTGAATTTACTGGAAGAACCAAAATATCACCTAGATAAAGATTACCATTGTCACTGTGAGCATGCTAGCTTTGTCATGACTGTTATTGAAAGGTTAGCCATTAGAGGATGCCTTGGTTAAATGAATTAGCAATTCTGATGTCAATAAAAATGAACGCTGTCATGACTTGTGTTTACTCAATAAACAGTATTTTCAATCATGGCCCGTATCAGCAGCAGCCATCATTGAGCCTTTCTCAGTATCACCACGACAACATATCGATGTCGTGTTCGGCACACAGAAAGTCCACTTGCTATAAAACTTTGTCAACAAATACAACAGCTGTCAGCCTCTGTTTACTTTCCCAGCCACTGAACTTTAATACAGGCTGCAGGCACTAGAACCTGGCAACAGGAATAATATGATATATCCCTAACCTGCTGTCACTTGTCACCTGTTACGCAGAGACAGCCTCAAATACAATATTTCATCTCGTTGTTTGAAGCTGGGCAGTTTGT